TTGATTTTCCAAAAAATCCGTTTTTTCCAAAATACTGAGCAATCCTTGAAATTTTTAAAACTTTTTTGATGGCATCTTGGTGAACATCTCAAGGCGCAACATTGCCCCAATTTAACCATCTTCGTATCTGTTACGGTTTTCGATATATCAATGCTCGTACCTCGAATTTGTAGCGCACCCTGTATATATACTAAATTTGTTTTTACTTTTCAGTAACGCTTGTTTTATAGGCTATCTCAATAATTATACTTAAAATTCCAGACCAAAGGTTTAATGGCCAAACTTCTATAGTTCTATATGTGAATTATTTCCAGTAAAACGTTCGAAAGAGTAAATATCTTTTTTGTTTAGTCATTTTAAACAAAATTTAGCACATATAGTTTCTTATTTGTTATTCTTGAGGATAACATAGAAATAAAATATACACGGTTGGCAACGATCAGCTTTGGGTCCCCCAAAACAATAGTACGAGAGTTAGCAACGTCGGGAAAACAAGTATTTTAAGAAATCTGGCTCTATATATATATATTTTTTACTTTACTCTTTGGAACTGGCTACCGGTAAAAGTTGCGTTCACTACTGCGCATTGAAAGAAGATCCTATATTATTATTAGTCTTTTAAATAATATCTAGAATTGAATATAAACCGAGCAAGTCTCTATAGCGCAGCGCGAAAACGTTCCGCCTATGAAGCAAGGAGTCTGAGTTCGAGACCGATTCGGGGTATAAAGCTTTTTTTATTTTATTTTCCTTTATATTCTGATAATAAAGTATTAAATAATTCTGGTTATACAAAAAAAACAAATATTTAATACTTTACTATCAGAATATAAACAAAAATAAAGTAAAAAAGTTCTATAAAGGTCTCGAACTCGGACTCTTCGCTTCATAGGCGGAACCTCTGCGCGCTGCGCTCTGGAGACTTGCTCGATTTATATTCAATACTAGAATTTAACGGACTATATAAAAAAAATATAGCATCTTCTTTCGATGCGCAGTAGTGAACGCAACGTGTATCGGCAGCCAGACGGTCCGCATGCTGTTCCAGAGAGCATAGTAAAAGATATATCAAAGAGTCAGCTTTCATAAAATACTTTCTCGAAAACGTTGCTAGCTCTTAGACTATATATAAGAGTTGATCAAGAGAAAGGATCTCACCCAAGACAACTAGAAGTAAAGTGAGTATCCAGCTAGGGCACCTCGGACTCGCCACGCCCGTACTCACAAGATGTGAGTCCCTGAGGGGTGTTAATTACAGTATAATCTCACGAAAAAAAGACAAAATTACTAAAATAAAACCAAAAAATATATATTTTTTTTAACTGGCTTTGAAACCAAGGCTCTTGAATACAAATTTGTCTAGTCTACAGAAACATTTAATAATTCATAAACAGATAGACGTATCTGTTGTATAGCGTTTAAAACTTCCTCGAATATTTTTATATGTTAACTATTAGGACCGTAATTTGTTGACCAGATAAATTTATGTTCAAGTTATGAACCATTGATGCATTTGCATTGGTTATTCCCTGAGTCCATGTGGGAAAAATTTATCTAATAGAATATAAATATTCTGTTGGATAAAGTTGTCAATATACAGGGCATAAAATAAGTGAAAATATTTTCAGGATCTCGATAAAAGAAACATATTTTCTCTTTGCCGTTTTTCAAATAAGTCCAAAATTTGAAAATTTTAAAAAATTTTATTTACTTTTAAAAAATGTTGAGAGCCACCGGATTTTTTTCTGTATTTGCATCGCTTTTAGTGTCGTAACCGTGGTAATATCAGAGATTAAGAAATTATAGGTTCGCAAAAAAACTCATAGACGTGTTTCTGGGGTCAAAATATACTACCCCTAAAAATATTTGCACTTATTTAAGACTCACCCTGTCTAAGATACAAACAGAATTTTATTATAAGATTCGTTCCAATATTCTACGTCGAAAAATCAAATAAATCTTAAGTTACAGCTCATTGAAATAAACCATGTATGTACAGTGTAAAAATACGATTCTCTTAATTTATTTCAAATATTTCATACTAGCTCATTTGTATCTGTCAACAATATAATCATATCTCCAAACAAAAATCTGTATATGTCTCTTTTAAAACTTAAGAAAATGTTTCCTTAGTGTAACAATTATTATTGTACTACTGTGTATGTATATATGTCAAAATATTCATTTTCTGTAACTATTAATAACGAATCTAAGTGACAACTTATTCAATATCAGTTTGATATCTTAATATCTTGTAGCAGCTTACTTTAATGTCACAACATCTGCGCAGTAAAAACCCTTGAAAATAGGTATGCTGATATTAAAAAAGTTGTAATTCAAGTAAATATATGTAACTTGTTACTAAAGGGCACAAATTTTAATAATATAACATTTTAATTGTTTAAATGTTACGAAATTTACTATTTGAATGTTTCTATATAAAGACGATGTACCTCGACCAGAGCTGATCCAAATCATAACAGATTCATTTTAAGGTTTTCTAAAATGAAATCAAAAAAGATTACCGTAATTAAATATAAAGACTAAGGAAGGAGTATATCAACAAAGTCAGATCATGAAGGAGTTTCAATATGGTTGAGTCGACTTCCGGTTGATCAGTGGCGTACGTTCGATAAACGAATAAATATAAATATACAGGGTGCAAAAAACATGTGCCATCTCTCGTGGGGAGATTCCTCACCTAAAAATAAAATTTATTTTTTATATTAACATATGTAGGTCCGATTCTACTTTGTTTCGTAGCTACAGGGCGTTAAAATTACATATATAAAATGCTAATATTTATTTGTGTTTCTAGAAAGTAGCTTTTTTTACTAAAAGATAGCTAATTGGCTCTTCTAAAAACTGTCATCGCCGGATTTTTTGTTTTTCTTTTAATTAAAAAAAATAAAAATTATTTTTTTTCCTGATGTCGATGTCGTGGCGGATGCGCCAGGCTTCAACTAGTGTTAATATATTTTCCATTTATTATAATTTTCTTTCTAGTAGTTTTAGCATTTCGAATGAAACTTTGAGGGTAAAAGTTACTATAAGTGCTACATACTATATTAATGCCAAAAAAGTGTCGATAAATTAATCAGAGACATGCATATAGGTCGGTTATCACTGGAATATTATTTAAAAAAAATATGTGCGCCACTGACTCTTTTCCTTTTGATATTAAAATTGTGTAGGCCGTTTAATGCCAATTAAAAGTTATCTCTTGATATTTTGTCTGCTTACACTATTTCGCTAACAAGACAAAAAAGTGGCACACATGCTTTTTTTAAAAAAATATTCCAGTGATAACCCATATGCACGTCCCTGGTGAATATGTCAACACTTTTTACCTTTAAAACATTTATAGTAACTTTTGTCCTCAAAATTTCATTCGAAACGCTAAAAGTACTTGGAAGAAAATTATAATAAATCGAAAAATTATTAAGACATTAACACCCTGTAGCTACGAACCAAAGCAGAATCGGACCTATGTTGATATGAAAAATAAATCTTATTTTTACGTGAGGAATCTCGCACATGTTTTTTGAAACACCCTGTATTTATCAAAAGCAAAATTGACAAAAATTATATTTCTAAATGGCTACCATTATTCCCTTCTTTGGTTGATTTAACCATTTCCTTAATCTTTTTAAGGAATGGTCACCCTGCATTTATTATGATGTTGTATATTTTTTAGTGAAATTAATTATTCATGTAATATTTACCTGTTAATTAACTTATTTATCTAAAGATAAAGTATTTTATACGTTAATAGGCATTCCATTCAAAATCGTATTTTTAATGGAACAGCTCTGGTCTCCACTTTACAAAATAAAAAAGTGGTGTAGTGTAAGCTATATTATAATATAGTTAAATATATGATGTATATTTTGAAGTTTTCTGAAAATTTCATTAGAACTTTGTTGTAAATTGCTTATTATATAAATCAGAATCAAAGTTTCTTTTAATTTATTTGTCTCTGTATCGAAATAATTCATATTAATATAATAAAAATTTTATGACTTTTTTTAAGATTTTAAGAAACATTTATTTTTCATACATAACTTATTATTCTCTTAAACATTTTACATTAAATGGGGAAATATAACGCGTGTACCCATAGATGTTCCAATCTGTGAAACTAATGCCATATAATATATATTAATGTCGACTCTTAATGTATTGTAGTTTTATACTTAGGTTTATATTTTTTATAAATTTAATCATAAGATATGAAGAATATATTCATTATATTTGTTAATTTATTGTGATGATCACCAAAAATTATTTTTATTGGTTAGAATATATTGTAAATTTATTTACTTTTAAGTTTTTTTTAGTTAGTAACATATTCCACAATTAATTGTTATTAATAAAGAAAATCTTCTCTATATATTCGAAAAATTCTAGTTATAAATATCAACCTTTCTCATTCCTTTAAATATTGCAGGTTTGAACTAGTTATAAACTTTTATTAACATTAAATAGATTGTACAGCGACAGAATGCCTGACAGTGACTAGACTATACCGGGTGCGTCTCGAAAGTGGTTCACCTTTATAACTTTTTTATTTTTTCAGATAAAAACGAGATTTAGTATGTTAGCATATGACATAAACTAGAACTGATTGTCGTATTCAATTGTTTTTAGTCACTGTCCTGTTTCACCGGAAACGACTATAACTTTTTATTTTTAAATGGCACACTCGGTATATTTCTACTTTATTCGATAGAAAATGACACTCTGGATAGAATGACATCATATGACAACTTTGTCATTTTCTATCGAATAAAATAAAAATATACCGAAGGTACCATTTAAAAATGAAAAGTTGTAGTCATTTCCGGCCCAAACCGAAACAGGAAGTGACCAAAAATAATTGAATACGTCAATCAATCCTAATTTATGTCATATACTAGCATACCAAACCTCGTGTTTTTATCTAAAAAAATAAAAAAAGTTATAGGGGTAAGCCACTTTTGAGACGCACCCGGTATATCAATAAATGCCCCGTTATTAGAATCAATGTGTAGTAATTTACAAAAATGCTATATTTCGTCCACATTCCATTTCATAATGTCTACACGTGTCAGATACTACGATATATGACGTCACATTGAGCAATGGTTGTACAGACTTTATCTGTCATTATAATATGAAACTAGCTTATTTTTCTGTCAATTTTTGCATGCCATCTGTCTAAGTCATTGTTTGGTTCTGTTAAAATAAAATTCCTATGTTTCACAGCCAGTTTTATTAAAAATCTTTTAAAAATAAATACAAAAATGCATATTTCTGTTATGCGTATACTTTCTCTATGCGTACAAAACCAATGATTAGAATAAAAATCACGTACCTGCTTTTAATCAAAACCATTTACAATACTGCAAAATGATTGCCGTCAATCTGCCTTCTTGCCAAATTGAACAGACAAACAAAATATTTGATCTTGTGCGCTGTCATGTACAAATTGACAACAGTGGAATCATCAACTGATAGGTCTTCGACAGGACTGGACAGTGGACTAATAGTGATTTCGGAGTATACATTAACCTCGGGCAAATTCAAGAGTCCCACTGTACTACGAACATAGGCAGCCACTCTGGCTCTCATCTCCGGGTCCATAGGGATAGCCAATTCATCATCCACTTTCTCCAAGTCCCTCTTCATAGATATATGTCTCGTATGCTTCAAAGACAAAACAGTAGGGTCGTTTGTACTGACCACAGATAACTCTTTCAAAGACATGGCTCTGTACACTTCGTCTCCTTCCAAATTGATAATAATCACGCTGTCTGTGGTTAGGATTACAGCAACGGTAGCGTAGACAGCGCCTGAAGACATCATAGTGGCCTCGGTGACGTAGAGCATCTGGTTGGTGAACAGTGTTATAAATTTCCAGGAGTATTTCAAAGTCGAGTTGTTAGTTTGGTGGATTTTTTGAACCTGAGCTAGTCGTCTGGGGTTTGGTAAAGAGTTCCAACCAGCTCCCTGAAGCAGACCTAGTAAAACGAATTTTGGTTTAATATTAGTAAAATAATTATGCTACTACTTTTATTAATTCTTCTTTCACTGCCTTGCTCTATACAGGGTTCGGCAATAGTGCGTCAGGCATCTGTAGCTCCTAGATTAATAAACTTGGAAATGTTGTTTAAGTGCAAACTTAAAGTATGTACTAAGATGTATTTCAGGAAAATATTTTAACTTCTATACGGTGGCCCAAAAAAGTGTGAGTGGATCGTGATTATATTTTTTAAATGGTAACACCCTGTATATTATTGCATTTTTGGCTTCCTTTCAGATCACTTTACACAATCCTAAGATATGAGTAAATATATTTCGATAATTTCAGAAATATTAATAAATATAAAATATATATTTTTCAACTTTCTTTAAAAAAATTATTACAAATACAAGAACTGTCCTGAAATCAAAACTATAATAGGTATTTGCTTTAGATGGTCTATACTTACTTTGCTATAAATATTGTTATATCAAGTATCTTAAATCATACAATACAAATATAAAATAATTATTCTTTATTTAAATAGAACACCATGTATATTATTTTTTTATTAGATGGGGTTAAAGAATGAACATTTTTTGTATTAATAGCAGATACATGCAGTATTATTTCATATGGCCTTTTCAACGGTGTGATAAAAATTTACTGTGAAAAATGCCATAATATGAAATATAAAACCGCGAATATCTGCAAAACCGTTTTCAAAAAAAAAATTTGAAAAACTCTAAATACAAAAAATATTAATTTTTTAATTCTCCATCTATTGAAAAAATAATATTACATCTATTTAAAAAAACGAAGAAAAATTAGTTTATATTAAGTTTGGCGTAGAATTTTGAACATCATGTATGATTTCTTAATTTATTCATTTCTTAGGATTACGTAAAGTCATCTGAAAGGAAGCCAAAAATGCAAAAATATCAGGGTGTCCTATTTAAAAAATATCATCACGATCCACTCACACTTTTTTGAGCCACCTTATAGATGTTAAAATGTGTTCCTACCATGACACGTCCTAATACATACTTTAGGTTTGAACTTATCCAAAATTCCTAAGTTTTTTATTATCAGAGCTACAGATGCCCGACGCACTATTGCCGGACCCTGTATACAGAGTGTTTTACTAGGCAAATATACTCAAGATGATTTGCCATTGCCTTCCTTGAAGTGGTGGCTCGCTGGTTGCTCTATTTAGATAAATAAATATTTTTATTTCAATCAATAAAGCGACCATACTGGCTGGGGATCAAACCCAGTTCCCCTTCTAATTATTTTGACAAAATCGATCAGGATACACCGAACCTTAACAATACAAACCTTGTCCTGTCATCGCTACCAATTCAGCAGCCCCACTCAAAGGCTTGGTAAAGACTCCTACAATTCCCAAACCCACTCCAGCGACTAAAGATCTCGGGCTGGCTCCCTCCGACATGACAGACTGCAGAGGATGATGGGCTATACCCCCTACCGCTCCTAGAAGACTTATACCGAAGTTAGTCAAACCCTAGAACAAAATAATTTAAATAAATCGATTATTTTGCTTATTTTTGTATATTTCACCTGCATAAACCCTTGCGCAACACCCATGGGCCTTTGACGACGCTGTTCTTCTGCCCTTTTTTGATGCTCCTCGTCTAAAGTTAACCTATCTAAATTCCTAGCTACGCTTGAAGCTAATTTGGTTACTGACTGTAACGTTCCTGCCGTCACGTGTCTCATTAGTGAAGCTGATCCAGTTGTAATACCTAAAAAATATACTTATATGTCAAAAGAATATACCAGTAGTTATTTAAAACAAAGTGTATACCTTTTAAAAATGCCATTGGTCCTTGAACTAATCCTCTGTAAGGTAAACTAACGAAATCTCTTAAGCCTGTACCCATGGCTCGAGCTAAACCTCCTGGACTACCCAGTAATTCTAAAGAGCTGACCACCCAACCAGCTCCAAATATGGCTCCTGATAAGTAATGCATGGTAAGTGCGTGGCCCAATCTAAAACACAAACAGAAATATTGTAAAAACATACAAATATGCAGAGAGTGGGTCAAATAGGTGACAAAATATTAAAAAGATTAAAAAAGTACGTTTATATTAAGACATTTATATTACAAGTAAACTGTTCGCATTTTACATATTAAAACAACACTACCGTAAAATGGGGTGAATAGAAACATAGTGGTGAATAGAAACAACATTTCTGAAAAAAATCAAATCACGATTAAAAATATTCAAAGTAAAAAGAGTCGACATATCTAATTTTTCTAGCATTGGTAATACATAATAAAATGTAAAAACTATATTTTTATCTGTGGCAGCACTGTTTCTGTCAATCAGCTGATCAATAAATGTGAGATCGATTTATCACCTATTTTGTATGGCGCGAAAACTTTATAAATAAAATATTTATTTTTAAAGTAATACATAAGCTGGTACATGTAAGTTGTCATATTATATGTATTGTTATTTATTGTTAAACCTACTTAAATATGTAATAATTTACTGTTTCTAATCACCTTGTTGGAAGTAGAATAGATAAAAACCTTAACATCAATGTGTGTTTCTATTCTCCCGAATAGCAGGTGAATAGAAACACAAATGTTATTTTTATTTAATATTTATACGCATATATTTCAAAAGTCAAATTATATGTATATGCAAAGAACAAACAAAGACCCATGTTTTAAAATATTCGGGAGAATTATACCACATTTTTATCAACCAGTATATCGCTAATAGCCTACGAAACTGTTTCTATTCACCCCATTTTACGGTAACACAGTTTAGCTTTAAAATAAATGTTGAAACCGAGACTTTGAGTCTTTTTTCTTCTTTTTATATTTATACTCCTTCTAATAAAGGTAGGTCTCTTTGAGAAGAATGGACGCCTTCTTTAAATGACAAAATATTCTCACCTCCTATGTTGTCTTGTAATAACAAGGCTTAAAGACATCGTCAAATCATTTCAGAGGAACAAAAAAATAAAATGTAACATTTTCTTATAAAAAAAAACTTCTGGAATCGAAATATACTACTAGTTAAAATACTAGAGAGACGCGGGAGACATCCTGTATAATATTTTGTAGTTATTAGGCAACCTACCTGTAAGGAGTAGTAAATATCCTGCGCCTTTCAAACTTGCTGAACTGTAAAGGACTCTGATCCAAGGCGATGTACATTTTTACCGAGCTGTGCACAGACAGTAACAAAGACACTGGACTAACACTAAAGCACCTTATAGTTAGGGGTTGTGCTAATATAGCACACTGCCACGACACCAGCTCGGATACATTAACCAAATTAGAATTAGGACCTAAAATTAACGATACATATGAATTACTTAAAAAAGACAAAGAAATTTATTAACGGACTCTTACTTGGTTTAATTATTCTTGCACGATCAGGCCACAAAACTAAATCTAGTATATTGAAGGTTTGTAATTGCTGCATTAATTTTGTTATAAAAATATCTTCAATGAAACATGATACTGGGTTGATATAAATCTTCATTGACCTTATACCTACAGTCAAAGAAATTAAATACAACAAAAAATACCAAGATTTAAATAACTTTACCAGTATAACACTTGTTGTTAGACTCATTTCTCCAGGCTTCTAACACAAATTCCGCCATATGCATGGGATCTGACTCAAAGTTTTGTAGTAAGTTCTCCATCGACATGTTTAAAATATTAATTTTCTTGTTCGGTTTCTGTTCTTGGCCTACTAGTATAACTGGAAAATCGTACGACTCTCTTGCGCAAAGCTGATTGTCGAATTGAATATCCGAAATAGCAAACTTTACAGTTAATTGCTAAAAATACGTTAAATTTAATAACTGTAAAAAATACAGTGTTGTCAAATTAAAAATAGTGTCATAGTAGCCGTAGTTATATTTTATTTCGAAATTTACTACGTCTCTTAAGCTGCGTCCACATTGTTCGCGAGCAGGCCGAACGAACACCGGAAACACGAAAAATATGGCAGACAGTCGGAGCGAGGTGTTCGCGGCGTTCGCGACGTGACGCTCGCGGTGCTCCACGTGCTTGCGATGTCTTAAAATGCCTGTTTCGACTGTTCGGCTCTGTCGCGGTACATCAAAGAGACGCTTCGGAACCATGCGAGCATACATTAGAGCAGTTCGAAGCGCTCGAGCCGTTTGCGTTGTTTGTTAAGTTTTTAGTTTGGTTTAATTCATAGGATTCGGTATTTACTGCAGTATGATAATACTACCATGATTTTTCTTATTTTATTTTGTTCAGAATTACAAATATTTGTGTTTTGTTCTTGGATTAATAATATTAAATATACCTTTAATAAAATATAACTATATTTATATTGCCTACTTATCTTAATCTGATCTTTGAGAACTTTATTTATATTTTGGCAAACGCTTGGTATTATTAGCCGACCATACCAACAGGTATGGTAGGCTATTAAGATCGGCAAGTTTTTTTAATTTCACTCAAAATGAGTTATTTGGGTCATAAATGACCTAAATAAAAAATATTTTCATGGTGTCTGTCTGTCTGTCCGTCTGTAACACGATAACTCAAAAACCGCTGAACCGATTTTAACCAAATTTGGCACAAAAATAGTGTGGCACCCGAGAATCTGGCCATTAGTTTTTGGTGGGGGTGGGGGGTTGGTAAGGGGGTATGGGAGGGGGTTAAACATTTTAAAAAATCGTAACTCCAAAATTACAGTAGCTAGCGAAACGCGGTTTTCAAATTAAGATTAGGAATAATATTTGCAACAAAATTTGTAATAACATCAAAATCAGTCAAAGTCGCAGTTTTCGAGATATTAACATATTTTAGTATGGGCGGCTATACGTGCCTCCCGGCGCCAATTTTTTTTAAGCTTTGCTTGGAAACTTTGAATAAACAACCCAAACTGGTATGTGACTCTCTAGTTGCAAAGAATCTTAATGATATGCCAATCTTTATTTAACTCTTTCTTTAACCGGAATACCCTTCCTAAAAGTTGTATTTTATCTTTCTATACGGTAGCCAACTAAATTAATAAGTCTTTCAAAATCAGTAGCAGACATGCGATAAAAAATATTAAAAAAAATTCTGTCTCTTTGTAAATCGCGTAGATGTTTACTTTCACTGTGCTGGGATCTATTTTTGAAATTATTAGACATATCCAACACCACATTTTTTTTCTCTTTGTCTCCTTCGTTTTGCAATAATGATCGTACTAGCAGCCGCTATTAAAAATACTTCGCTATCATCCATGTCCGAACAGCACGAACGCAAGCACTACATTCCAATGTGGACGCCGTTGCTTGCGAGCTGAAAGATTTTGAGAAACACGACAAACAGGAAGCGCAAGTAACGCAAGCACAATCAGAAGCAAGAGCGCGGGTAGGATCACGAGCAATGTGGACGCACCTTTAGACATCCGACATTCAAAAGAGTAGAAATCAGTTCAGGAGATACGGAACACCAGACTTTCTACGCTTACTGTGACACCGTTTTTTTTTGTCTTTATTGAACAATACCTCAGTTTGAGTAGCGTTTACAATAATATCATCGCAAACCAAATTACAGATTTCCCATCTTTCTTTACCCTCTTCCTCGGTGTCAGATAACAAACAAATGAAAAAACTTTGAATGTAAACATTAAACTTTGCACTATTCCATCCCTCTTTTAAAGAAATGGTATTGGCAAGGAAACTTTTTCTTTCGCAGGTGAAATTAGACGATACAGTTTCATCAACATTGGCATGTTGGTGAATTTGGTTGCTTGAACTGGCATTAGTCTGTTCCGATACAGTTGGCAGCACTTGGAATGAGGGCTGTTTGACAAATGGCGTTGTAGTAGCTGTTTGTTCACGGCATTCGCAATCCGAATTCTTAAAATAAAGAATATATTAATGAATAAGAAATAAATTGTTTTAATATGTTTTACTTTTTTAGGTGGTTCTAGCGGCTTCTTAGATTTATTTACAGGTAAATTCTTCTCGGTTTGTCTCATTGATAATCGCACTCTAATATCCCTTGCGCTTATTTCAACCTACATAAAAATAAATATAAAAGAGCAGTTTCTTTCAGAACCTCGAAATGAGTAAAATAAATTAGTGAATTCAATTATACTTTATACTTAAGGTTTACGATCATTCATGACGTTAAAAAATCCAACTAAAATTAATAGAATATCATATATTTTTTTCCATCGCAACTGTTAAAATTGCCTTATATCTATCAAAAATAGTAGATAAAATAGTACACGTTAACCGCAAGGGTAGATTGAATGATACTTTAACAGCGAGGATAGGTTAAAAACTTTATTTCTTCTCGCACGTTTTTTAATTGCTTCCATTTTTGAAAATTTTTGTATTTCTTTTCATAAGTTATTCGGGATTTAAATGGAAGTAGTTTGGATATGGCGTTTGTCGCCTTAGCCTGAATATCTGTTGGTAATTTACTTATTTCGTTTTGAGCCATTTCTGGCTCCAATTCAATCAGCAATCAACACGAAAGAGAATTAAAAAATATTGACTCAAAACTGACAACTAAAGAGACAGCTTTATTTATTTGTCATATTACATAGAAACCAACGCCAACCCAGCACAATATTTTTTCTACTCGTAATAAATCTCTTGAAATAATAATTTCTGAATATTTTTTAAAACGTAACTCGGCTATGGAAAAAAAATATTGTTTTATACACGACGATAAAATTGCATTATCGTCGACCGAAGATTAATTCACGAGCGATGAAATCGCGAGTGAATTAATTTCGGGATAATACCATTTTATCGTCTTGTATAAAAAATAACTAAAAATAATATAAATTATTAATAACTCACCTGACTACCACTTTCAATTGTGACAAACGTAGTACAAGCGGTATTGTTTATTGTTAACTTCACGTCACCATAATATGGAACTCTAGTAAAGAGTGAATTATTATTAACTATGCTCACACCAGCAGACCACTCAATGTCCTTTATCTCTTTTTCATCTAATAAAGAGAATATTTTACAAAATATGCATTAACTTTTATTTCTAGAATATATTATAATACCTTCAGAATATCCTAAAGATAATTTTTCCGAAAAATTCACTTGAGGTAGTTCAGGAAACTTTTCAGATAATACTGGCAAATTGTAATACATTCTAGACATACTTCCCACTTTACAGGTCCACCTAAATGTAAAAATATTTTTTTATAATCTATATTCTTCAATTTTAAGAAAATGTTCTGATAAGACAGCATTCCACTGGTACTTAAAAATATATAATTGATACTTTTATAACATTAGCAAAGGCCAGTAATGTAATTAAAGACAATATAACCTTAACGCTTAAAATAGACGTAGAAATATGAAATAAACACTTTTTATAAATATTTCTAAAACAAAGATATTTTCTAAACACGCCACAACTAACCTAATATGCTCTGCTTCCTTGACAATTCCACTGTCATCTGGCAACGACTGCCCACAGAAAAATGCAACGCTAGTTTTATTTTCTATGAAAATCTGAGGTCTAGGATCGTTATGGATTGCTAGATACACTTGGCCTTTATTCTCTTGGGCTGTCAACACTACAGGAATCTATTAAACAAATTATTTGAATGCATTGGAATCAGGAAGCTACTGAACAAAAAACTGTGGTTACAGGGAGTAAATTATATATAATATAAATAAATCTGTATTTTGGTATCATTGTAGTACTAGGTGGTACCTTAAAATCCTTCCTTTGAGAGTATTATATTGTGGTATCGCAGAAAAATGCCATCTCTAAAATAAATACTTAATTTTCTTTAAATAAAATGAATAACAAAGCTTATTTCGAAAAATAAATTCTTTAAAAAATAATTCCTAATCAAATGTTTTTACCATCTACAGCTATGTTCCTCTTCTTGTATATGATGCCTGGCACACAAGTTTTTAAATTTAATATCTATATTTTTTGTTCGAAAGGTGTAACAACAAAAAATGTTACACATATATTTTTTGGCGCCACATATATTCTATTACGTAGGGCGGTAAATTCAAATAAAAAAGTATGAGTTTTTGATTCTGACAGTAGGCAAAAGAAGATACAAATTCAGACATTTGAAAAAGAATATTTTTTGATGGCCAACTTATTCACTGTAACCTCTGATATATAAGGTTATTTTCTAAACTTACGGAAAACTGTTTTGTCTGTACAGAGAACGATTTCCTTACTAAATGCTTATCAACTCTGACTGGACAGGACCATCCTACTTTTGGATCGACCGAGAACGTCATGTATAAATTATACTCGGCAGTGGGTGTTTCCGTAGGTGATTTGATTATATACCACTGTACAATGGGAATACCGCAATGACTAAAACAATTATTAGTGGATTATATTTAGTTACTGGAGCTAGGATATTGAATAAAAACACTACAGAAGAAGTATATCAACAAACTTACAGACAGAGTTGTATATGTTGAATCATAGCTACTTTTATAAATGCCAAATATATATTAAATTTTACCTTTTTTGTAGATGGGGTGCAACAGTAAAACAGTACTTCTCCAAGTTCAGAGGTAAACTTAAAGATTCCTTACAGTCAGGAACAGCCAAGCAAACGATGTGAACTTGAGTGGATAAATGGTTTGACAGTACATGAGTCGATGAGAGTCTTAGTAATCTGATTTCATTCGACATTAAACTCGTGATTGAGACCATACATAAATGCTGATCACACTTTATACAAGTTTTAATTGTTCCATCGATAGGAATAGTCCCTAAATCAAGATTTTGTATATATAAATAGCAGAAAAAGAATTCAAAATCATACCAGAAATTTTCGGCATGTAGAATGACTGGCTCCAATCACTTTTAGCCAGCTGCAAAGGCCCAGAAAAGAACAACTTGCTGCTACTTAACACGCCCAAATGAAAGGTTTCCTCTAATTTTGGAGGAGCTATGATGCCGTGGTGTTGTACTTTACACAGTTCCACTCCGTTCAGCATTACTGATACTGGAGTACCCAGGGTATTTACCATCAAACACCAAGGTAATAGTTCGACTAGTAAAGCACACGAATGCTGACAGGCATTTTGATAGCTAAAAGAGTGTAGTACGTGTGAGAAAATAGTTATAAAAACTGTAAAATTATCGGAAAAAATCGCTCTATGATTGTCTATTAACTCCAAATAGATTTCTTCCGCTTACCGAACTTGAACATGAGTTAAAGGTTGATTATCATCCACAATCCATTCAATATCATCCAGTTCGTCACCGAAATAAGGCCATTTTGACTCAAAGCAAGATTCTAATGAATCTAATATTACTTCTAGATCATCTGAGGGAGTTTTCTTGAAGAATTTCTGTTGGTCCACTAAGGAGTAGTTCAGAGGTACATAGGGATTGTTGGTGTTGCAATTTCCTGCAAACAGATTTTTAACAAAATAAATTTAAAATAATTTAGTTAATAAACCATTATTAACTTGATTACTTAATATGAATATCAATTTTGAATTTCTAGTTTGTTCCTTCGAATTTTTAGTACAAAAAACAAATATTGCCAGAAATTGATGATAATAAAAATTATATTAACATTGGTACCCCATTACATTTAAAAAAGATACAAAAAAACCTCAAGCAGAGAAATGAAAAAAAAAGAACAATGGAAGAAAATAGAGAAGATAAATAAAAGTAGATAATGTGATAAAAAAAAATTTAAACTCAGTAATGTCAACATTATCATATGTTGTAAATAAATAAATATTACATTTTATATATTCATATATTTTTTAAGTTGAATATTAAACAGTTTTAAGTTGAATACTAAACAAATTTACAAAGATATTAGACATTATTTACCTGTTTCCAATTTAAAAGTGATCTGATGCGAATGATCCACCGTTCCAGGACAATACAGTTGCTGCAATTCGCCCTTTCCATTCACCACAGAATCCAAATGAACTTTTAACGTGGGAGTTTCGATGTGCACATTCGCGTGCATGGGCAAATTAGACTTAACCATAAACAAGGGCCACAGCATAGCCAAAATCCTTTTGGTCTTTTTAGAAATATCCTGGACGAAAATCCTGCACCAAATTGAGAGGAACTGACCTCTCTCTTGAAGAGGAACCTTAACTAACCATGGTTGAGAACCTAGTAAATACATTTAAAAAAACATACCAGAAGAAGAAATAACTTCGAAGGTGTAATAATAATTGGTTAATCTAGTCCGTATGACAATGGAATAAGAAAGATTCAAATATATTTTTCTTAATATACAGGGTGTCCGTGGATATAGAACTACTGCGTATTTTTGAAATCAAAATAAGGTCGTTAGTTACAATTTACCTCTATACAAAAGAGCTTCATTCAGACGTTATGTGTCTACCGAATATTGAAACCCTCTGTATATTTTGTAAGTCTGCTTTAGGAAAAATTCTCCAATAAATTTTTTCTCAAAAATTATGAGATGTAGCGAGGAAATTGGGTCTAAGGAGATTATTTTCATTTCAAAAATACGTACTAGTTCTATGTTCACGGAATATTGGTACACCCTGTATACTGCCTTTTATATTAATCAATTATCACTTCACATTATACATCAATATACTAACCTGTGGCGTGTTCTCTTAGAGGAATATCACCGGTCCACGACGACTCCAACCCATAGAAACGCAATCTCAGAAAATAACTCTTCTTATCATTAATAAAAATACTGGGCGCTGCCGTTTTACCAGCTGCGATATGAACTTGGGCGCTCTTAAACTCGGCTTCCTTATTCTCAGCCACCGCTTCAACTATCTTCATTTCAAAGTGTTCAGAAAGCAGGTTGTATACTATCAGCTGACCGTAGAAAGTGATCTGTTTTTGTGTTTTTGATAGCTCTTTAACCGAAACGAACAATGTTATGTTCTTTTCGGAATTGAAGTGGATAACTTGGTTGCCTGTTTGGGATATGGAGAAAGCTTTTGACCATATCCAATCAGTTTCTTCTATGGCAACTCTAGAAAGATAGTCAGTTAATTATTGACACCTATGAATAAAAAGATTAAGGAAGGAGAATAATGAGCCCTAGGGTGGGGATCCTTGATAGTTCTGTTTGAGGATTTATTTGACATATTTAAATTTGATTTGAAATATTGAGTGATGAAAAAAGAGTTGAGAGTTGCTACAGCTTTCCCATTGAAATGAAATTAATTTTAGATATCACTGATCAAAATTTGTACAAAGGTAAAAAGTGACTGCTACACTAATTTGTGACTGCTATCCCTACTTGTTATAGTTTTATATGTTTTTATTAATATTATTTAATTGAATATTATTTTTAATATCAAATAATATACCTAGCTATTTCTAATTCTTGTTGTATTTATTATATTTGTATTTTATTTGAGTGATCTATTATTACGACACATAGGAATGCTAATTTTGGACTTAAATATTATATTTTATTTTGTTTCTGTACTTTTGATTTTTGTTGAAGATCTACCGAGAATTTTGTTCTCGTATAGAATTATAATCTAACAAACCCGGCAACCCTGTTCGGCTACTCCTTATAAAGTTTTTTTCGGCCTAATTCCTTCCTAGTCCTTCCGACCGACGGTGTCGGGGCGACTGCTAGGAAAATCGTACAGTATTGCCATTTCATAGAATTGCACTTGCTATTTTAGAAATGATTTCAAAGTTTTGCACGTTACTTTTCGTTTTAGAAAGAAATTATGTGCCTAGAGAAAACATTCTTAAAATTGTTTCGTACTTTATTTAATATTTCATTAAGCAGGCAAGATAATGGGATTAGATTTGGGATAAGCCAACATAATTTCGATTTAATCGGATTTAATGGAATGGCAACACTGTCCGTCCTGTTTCTATTTTTTTCGATTCTATTCTATTAGTAGGCGGTAGCCCCCACACAAGCGTCTTAAAGACTCGCCCCCTCTCGCAGAGGCTCTCTCGTCGTATCACTTCTATGATCACTTCCCCTATACGATGGTAGGAAAAAGATAGTTTATCCATCTCTGTTGCACTGCAGTGTATTTTGCAGCCTTACCATCTTTTTTACCGCATTGAAAACCTCCTATTGCTAATGTTCCTCTGCCAGCAGTGTATAATATATAAACGCGTAGTAAACCGATAATTTATGAAAAAAAATTCACTTAAAATTAACTAATTATATATTTTTCTTTCATTTTTGTTTTTATTTGCTACTTGTCAAAGATTAGATGTCAAAGAATCATCAAAGAATTTAGATACGCCAATTTCTGTTCTCCATTCACGCAGTTGTGCAGCTCTGAACTGTTCAAGAACGCGATACTCTCACTCCATTCAATTGAGTCATAAAGTTCAGAACTGCTCATGAACTGTTCCGCGCCATATAGAGGCACCAGGCTATCGCGCACAGCCCCTTTCAGAATCGTTCTCGAGTAGCCCACGACGTAAAGCTCTGGAACTTGAAATTCGCGAATGGAGGACAGCAAATTTGACTTACCTGCTTCAGTAGCGTATACACAATTTTTTTCATATTTATTATATCTTGTAATATGTTAGCATTTTACAAATTAGGTACCTTAAATATTGATGTTTCTTTTGAGACCTCCACGAGTACAAATTACATTTTCTAGATGGCAGCAAGATATCTTCCTCTGTAGCCCACTGAGCAAATCGAATGCTCGCATTCGTGTCATTACATATAACAAATCTCGTCACAATAACAAACTCTAAGGCGTTTGCATCGTCTGAGCTATTCCGAGTCCACATCTGAGAACTCACGGCCAGAGTATGAGCAATGCTCGGTGCGATATTTAGGCGTATAGGCTTAGAAATTATGTTGCACTCCAGGCCTTTGTTTAAGAATAATTCCAACTTACATGTAAACGTTTCTAAAAAAAATATGGTTATATCACAGATTATGTATCCTATAAGTATATAGATAAAAATCTTGTCCCTAATTCGTGGTACAAAAATTGTTTTTTATGACGATGTGCAAACGAGTCAAATTTCCTGTGCGCAAAAATAAACTCGCGTAAAATACAATAAACAGCGTAATAGAGAGATATCGCTAAACCGAATAGCGGGCATGGACGTTAATAAGGCCAGGTGTTATTTCCTTTACGTGAGGTGGTATTAACTCTCTTCATTTATAGTTATCGGATCGGAAATAATTCTGATCGCGTCGCGTCCGCTATTTAAACTTAACCTAACTTTGAATTTAAAACTTTGAACTTGTTTTGTTTACTGGGTATTTTAAAACTAAAGGGCTAAAGTGCTTATTTCCAGTGCTTTATTGTTCAACGTCTGCCAATGGGTTTAGGACAACAAGCAACAAATTCTCTTAGAAGGGCTAAGTCGTCATCTGCTGTAAACCTAAGACTCTTTATACGTTCTTTAGTATTGGAAGAGGTGGAATCCATATTTTGGGCCATATTTATTTAATTAAAACTAATCCCAGCTACTTAAATATCAAATTACCTAATAAAACTTAAGCAATAATTCAAAACAATTCAAACATAACCTAAAATAAAAGATCTCGCCGGCCGGCTCCGGTTGTCAAATACCCGCACATGCCCATTTAAGCAATTTTTAAACGTTATCAGAGGTTATTTAGAAAGAGCGCTTGGTGTAATTAATCCGCAAATTACGTCAGGCGATAACGTTATTAGCGAGTGTTGCGTTGACTCGCACATATCGTAACCATAAGGTACGCGTAAATACTGGATGACGCTATTCGGTTTTCCGATATCTCTCTAATAACTGTGCCGGTCAGGCGCTGTGCACAATTTTAGAGGCCATAAGTGGGCGTGTTATGTGCGCAAACTAGTCACCTAACTAGTGCCCGATTCCGAAAATTTGAACCACGAAAAACAATAAAGAAAAAACAAAGATTATAATCTGTATAATCTGTGGTTATATACAGTAGGCTCAAATATATTTAAAATGCGTTTTGTAAGAGACATGAATAATTCTTATAGGTATAATTACTATTAAATCAAACATTAAGAAAGGAAGAGTCAAATACTATTTTAATCTTCTAAGTCCGAATTTTGAGAATTTGCTGTGCTTCTATATATTTTTTTTATTATGTCTTATTTATTATTAATTTTCACAAATTATGCACTTTATATTTTTGTTTTACTTAGATAAAAAGATAAGTTAATTATTTTAAAAAAATCTACTGCTTACCTAAAAGGTTTTGTTCAGTTAAAAAAGCATAATCTAACACATTCGAACTTAGAGCTCCTGTTATTTCAGTCGCGAAAATATCGAAATTCCATGTTGACAAGTAAGAGCACAAATTGTCAACTGTCAATGTCAAAAATCTTTGATTTTCAGGAAAGCTAAAATCGGAACTGTATTTTTTCAGACTCTTTGGCAACTTTACATTATTTTCGTTTTTAGGAAAGTAATTGTACAAAGCGACCTCTATCTTCGTTATGTATAGAGCAGTAGTGAGGTTAGGAATCAACGACTTATTGAAGTAAGAATCGATTCTCATGCAGGCGGCTAGAGCTCTCGGTGAAATCCCTATTTTGTGAGGTATGTTTTCATCGGATTGATCATCAACTGCAGTTATTACCACCTACAAAAATATAATATACAGGGTTACCAAAAAATTGTGTATTTAACTTTGGTGGGTGATTTTTCAGATAAAAATAAAACAAAAAGTTTCTATGAACATATACTATGATATAGAAATTTAATTCCACGCTGTGTTTGTCATAATGTGGATCAACCTGCTCTCACTACCGGTTTCGGAGCCCTACTCCATCATTAGGTGAGCTTGGGTAGATTTCACAAAAAATTTAAGTATATATGCCTATACTGCAAGAAATTTGTATTCCATTTTATAATTTGGCTTGCCTGAAAAAAGCCTTTTACCATCCTTTTACTATCGATTACGATTACGATTACTCGGTGGTACGAAAGTACTACCATTGCACGCAGGCCGCTATCTCCCGTTCGGGACTTAATATCTAACCGATACTTTCCGACAAGTCGGAATTAACTACTCTGTGCTGTGATTGTCATTTTATGGAATCTACCCTTGCTCACCTGATGATGGAGTAGGGCTCCGAAACCGGTAGTGAAAGCAGGTTGATCCACATTATGACAAACACAGTGTGGAATTAAATTTCTATATCAGCAGTTAAGTGGCAAGAATTCTTATATAATTTTATTTAACCAGTTATTCACTATGGGAAAACAAATACCTTACCCTCCAAACGCTGGCAACGATTTTTTGGGGCTGTCCTTTGGGCAAGTTTAGGTGACAAACTTCACTTTCAGACAAATAGAATTCGGTGTATGGCAAATAACAATTCCTACACTCGGACCAGTATTCCAAATGACACAGAATCATGACGCTTTCTTGCGAACCAAGCGCCATCTTGTACGGCACCGGAAAAACTCTCACTTTGGTCAAAGCGCGAGGCTGCGGATATTTCCAAGCCATGGCTGATATGGTTTTCGACCAAAACATAACCTATAGAAAGTAATCAATCAAAGACTTCAATTAAATATATTGTATAATATATTATTGGTCAGTAAGATTTATTTATTTATAATATTTGTCTGATCAATGACAGTTATAGTTCATATCATATAAACTTTTAGTCACGTGATTAAGCTTGACCGGTACACATATTTTCTTTTAATCAAAATATTTTAGAAAACAAAAATAAATTAATTATAAATATAAAAACAGTTATTATTTACATCAACAAAACTCACCCTCTTAACAGCACTTAAGGGACATAAAGGGCCGTTACTACCGCTTTCCCGTTCAAGATATTCTAATAAAGTTGCAATGAGTTTTTTACGGCTATTACGCTATTACCACTTTGCACTAAAAGAGGTTCTAAAAAGAACACTGTTCGACTGCAAGGTATACTAGTAAACATTTTTAAGCTTAAAGTATCACAACACCATTTATTTAAATCAAAAACTCGTTATACAAAACTAAAATGTCAGAACGAATGACAATGTCCGGAAATAAATAAATAAATATGGCGACTTGACATATTTACAGCAGTGCTACCACCTGAATCCCTAACGTAAAATTTAAATTCCAGTTAGTCAGTCTGGCGCCGAATATGTCCGGGGTTGGAAACAATAAATTTAAAAATCGCGCCCTGGATTACGTAACCAGAAGTTTAACTGATATCAAATATAAGTAAGCTCACTGTTCACAACATCTTCTATTTAATTTTGCACGCAAATCACAAAGAAGTTTCGTGACCAATAAATAACTAAACAGAAAAAATAGGAACCTAAATGCGATCCTATGATTAAAAAAATCTTACCTGATAAGGTAGAGGCATTTCATCAGAATTATCAGTACTAGAATCGACAAACTGAAAGGCTCCAGCTCTCAGATCATCCTTGTAGTACTGATCCTTTTCTATTTTTGCAAAACTATCTTCCTTCTTAACTTCATCCATATCTTTATTCGGCAACATCGATATAAACTCTTTTACATCTTTTAAAACCATCTCGACACATTTTAAATGCTCTGCAGTCGCGTCCAGTAAAATACAGTCACTTTCAATCGATACTTGAACCTAATTATGATATTTGATAATGTTAAAAACAAATAGTAGAAATAAAAAATGAATATATTACCTGGGGATTGCTGTCTGTGTCTTGCCAAGATTCCCAGAACACGCAAACATCAACAGTGACAGTCCAGGGGTTTAGCAACAGTTTTTTGAAAACGTCATGAATGACAGTCAAAGTCAGGCATTCGAAAGTCGTTGCCAAGCATAATTTTTCGGGTCTGGTGTTCAAAGAAAGATGGCTTTTGAGTTTTTGCATGCCTATGTGAAGCTCGTGACCACTTTCCGAGGATACGGCAAAGACGATTTGGTCAAAATTGACCGAGACTGAATTTGTATTACCTAAAAATTCCTTTATTTCTTGGAATTTGCTATAGGTATCGTTCACTCGAACACTTCGTTGACTTTCGTTAATGGCGTTTTTCTTATTTGACAAATGCGCCTTTAAAAGGACCATGAAACTGTTGCCACCTCCGCCACTGTTAAATGTATCCACAACTTTATCTTTAATGGCCAACATATGGCTCCATTTTGAGGTTTTACACAGAACTTTGGTAGGTTTGGAGATGTCAAGTTCAATTTTTGATTTTTTGCCTACACCTAAAAAGTAATTGATTTATTGAGAGATGTGTTGTGAGTCAGTACCACAAAAGATACAAGCTGCATAAAAAACTTAGTGTCACTGAATATTTTATAGAGCCATTTACAAAAGATCCAAGCTTCAATTTCGCATTTACATCTATATACAGGATGAGTTTTAATAAGTGCAAATATTTTCAGAGCTGGTAGGCTCGATAAAAAGAACATATTTTTGCTTTACCGTTTTTCAAACAAGTCCAAAATAACTGAAATCTTTTACTTTGAAAATTAAAAAAAAAATTCGCTCAAATTTTGAGGACCACTGAATGTCTTCTGAGTTTTCTTTCTTGTAAAATGTTGCCATACTATGAAGATATTATCTTTTTTAACTGAAAATTAAAAAAAATCTAAAAATGTTTTTGACAAATTCCAAATTTACAAAATTTTTTCTTCACGAAAAAAACTCATAGGCCGAAATGTACTATCCCTAAAAATGTTTGCGCTTATTTAAGACTCACCCTGTATAATTGCGTCCAAAATAACTGAAATCTTTTACTTTGAAAATTAAAAAAAAAATCGCTCAAATTTTGAGGACCACTGAATGTCTTCTGAGTTTTCTTTCTTGTAAAATGTTGCCATACTATGAAGATATTATCTTTTTTAACTGAAAATTAAAAAAAATCTAAAAATGTTTTTGACAAATTCCAAATTTACAAAATTTTTTCTTCGCGAAAAAAACTCATAGGCCGAAATGTACTATCCCTAAAAATGTTTGCGCTTATTTAAGACTCACCCTGTATAATTGCGTCTTACCTTTGATAAACTTCAATACAAAAAACGCCGGTAGGATACCGTTACTATTAGGCGTTCCAGGCTTGGTCTCTAACAAATTTACTGGAAAGTCCGTTTCATTCGGCATGTGATTCAGAGCAGTATATTCTGGACCGCTTAGTTTGAAATTAATATCGAAACACGACAGCTAAAACCAGAATTACTTGTTAAAGTATGCTGAGTTTAAAGAAGATAGGTATAAAACCTGAAGTTTTCTTCCTATCTGTTGTTTGACAAAGAAAGCGTTAGGTTGAGTGAAAGAAACGTAAATCAACGGTATATACTTTTTGTAATTATCAGTTTTGTCATCCGTACTTTCTTCCGACGCCTCGTAACCTTGATCTTCATCGGCCTGTAAAAATTATAAGTCCCACTATATTGATATAATAGTTCAACTACTTTACATTAGACTTAAGTAATTTGTGCAAACTGGTTTGTTGTTTACATATTCAGTTAGTTGGTGCTATTTGTCTGACTATTTTTATTTAAAGCATATTAGCCCTTTCTTAAACTTTCTATCATAGGTATAACTCGTTTAATTTTATTATTTCAATAAATAGATGATGTGAAATAATACTTCAATCTCTTTTATTTCACTTTTATATTATATTTGGCGCCCAACGTGGGGCGCCAAAATTGGATAGATAGGCCGGATTACTACTATACTGGTTGATTACTGTGAATTACAGTCGTTTACTGTGAAATATCTTTATACATTATATTAACCATATTTCACAAAAATAAAACTATATTTAAAAAGTACCTTAGACATAAGAAAATAAGCTATAGTATTAGACTGTTTTTATTTAAAGACATTAGCCCTTTCTTAAACTTTCTATCATAGGTATAGCCCGTTTAATTTTATTATTTTAATAGATAGATGTGTGAAATAATACTTCAATTTCCTTTATTTCACTTATATATTATATTTGGCGCCCAACGTGAGGCGCCAATTGGACAGATAGGCCGGATTACTACTATACTGGTTGATTACTGCGAATTACAGTCGTTTACTGTGAAATATCTTTATACATTATATTAACCATATGTCACAAAAATAAAACTATATTTAAAAAGTACCTTAGACATAAGAGAATAAACTCTAGTATTAGACTGTTTTTATTTAATTATATTATATTTGGCAAATAAAATAAAAAAAAATAAAAATAGAGGACGTCAACTGTTATTGTAGGCGTATCTGTTTAAAAAAAACTAAAGTGTTCTTGAATAGTTGCATTTAAATATTTTAAATGGTTTTTTTCTTTATTCTTTGTATTTTTTGGATTCCGACGACGGAAAGAGATAAACTTTCCGAAACTTTAAGCATTTTTTTTGTTCGTTAGGCAAATTTATTTATCTGTAAACCTAACTTTTGACAAGTAGTTTCCGTTGGATTAACGCAGCAGTGTTTACAAAAAATAACTATTTTATTTTGTAGATTTTCTTGCAGTGGCGAAATACCTATATAGGATTACAATATTTTACCTCACTTAGCAAACAATCTGTATAAATAATTATTCAACTTGGAATATTTTCTGAGAGACATAATATAACACAACAAATCTTTACCTTCTTCTGTGATTTCTTTTTCTTGCCCTTATACTTAATATAAACATTTCTCTCGTCATCTACACTGTACAAAGACAAAGTAATTTTACCGGAAGTTATCAGAACTTCCAAGGGAATCGTAGTTGGCAAGTAAGGTACTGTATTAGGCGGTCTAGGAAAAATATTCTGTTTCTCACTTTCGGTGCTTGGTTTAGAATTAAGGAAAGTCTAAAAAATAGAATTTTACAATTTGTAAGCAATACAGAAAATGTGTGTCATACCTGAGCCCTGGCAGACTGAAGGCTTTTTACATCTGATGTTTCGATGCCCGAATCTTTATTTAGACCGTCAATAACGGCAACCTCCTTTTCGGTATCAAATTCCGAAAGAAAAGATTCGAATCTCGAGTAGGGGAACTTTATTTTCGGTCTTTTCAACAAGCCATCCTAGAAAAAAATATATTCAAGGTCAAATAAAAAAAAAATATATTCAAAGATATATAATATATTCGAATATCAAATAACCCGTAGGTCAAACATCTGACCTACGCATGATTTTAAACAGAACCACGATTGCCAGGCAACCATTCGTTTACATACAATACATTTACTTACCTCCATTATTAACGGAGTTAACAATACTACAAATTCAGCCAGTACACCTGATACTATCTTGATCTGATGCAGCGACAAATTCACAAAAATGTCAGATACAAAGTTGATCTCCATTGCATGTCCACAAATGATGACATTATCTTTATACGTCATTGCTGGAGCTGCGATGACAGACACATTAAACCTAACCCAAAAAATGATTACAGCTTCTAAAGACATGTTATAAGTATTAAAAAATAATATACTTTTCTATAATACATCTTAAATTCAATGTGGGTGCAGTATTAGGTTGACCTTGTTCCAAAATGTTCCATTCCAGTGCAGGGTTCTCGCTCATGCCCCGCAAGTCCGATAAAGAACTTTCTTTCGGGTGTAAAACCGAGTTTATTTCGTCCCATACTCCAGAACAAAGCGATATACCCAGCAAGTCTAATTGGTATTGCCTATCCTCAACTTCACTTCCTAAGATAAAAAAGTAAAACAACTTCAATGCAATGAATATGATAAAATATATGGAGCAATGAGCGATCAACAATGATGTACATTACGCAAACTTACCTGGTATATTTAAAATACGAGCATGCGCAGCTCGCTCATACAAATCAGTTCGAATCGGTGCTCTACAGATGGGATTGACAGCTTGAGGATTTAAAGTAACCTTTTGCAACTGGAAAACCATCACGTCATGTAAAGAACCATTTCCTATCAAAAATAAACAAAATAATTATCCTGTAATGTGTCTTAAGTCAAATATGCATACCTATTAACTCGCTAGATGGCATTATAACTCTGATATCCTGACACTCTAGATAAGCCAGAGGTAAAGTTTGATTATTGACGGAATTCAAAAAGTTAGTGCTAGATACAGAGTCGCACTTTTCAGGTTCTGGTGATTTTACAGGAATATTTAGAAGAGGAATCTATAAAATAAATATATAAATACGATTTGTTATGACAAATTAAGTATAAGGTCTTACTAAAACCAGGTAAAAGCTCCTCAATGTGCTTAGGGATATGATAAAATCTAGAGGTTGAATATTGACTACGATTTCGGTGATATATCTTGATTTTGACAGAATTTGCTTGGTCAAATCTTCTTTCTTGTCTAAAATTATCGAATTTAGAATAGTATCGAACTTGCAAAGAAATGTTTTATTGAAAAAGATTATATTTAACCAACTTAAATTTATCAGTAAAACTATCAGCGAGTCAGTAATGAAAGAAAGGCACGAGAGAGAGAGAGAATTCTCTCGTTTGAATACTTTAGTAGTTCAAATGTATCATACCTTTGTGCTTTTTTCTGACAGCTCCCCACAAAGTATGCGTGTGCTGACAGCTAGCTCTAGTTATAACCACACTAATTAATCCATTGTCTTCCTGCCTTGGGTTAGTTGCAAAATCATCTCTAACTCGCATCACTATGCCTGAAAATGGACCAGGAACCCACTGAGCTGTTGGAGATGACCTGAAATTCAAACATATTCTTCTTCTAAAAACTTCAAAATTTAAAATGCATACCTTTCATAATGTCTTATTGAACCCGATCCTATTTTACTCTTAATCTTCAAATACACACTTTGAAAATCTAGAGAGCTGACTATATCTTCAACATCTAGAACTAACTTCAGTCTGGGTTGAATATCTTGTTCATCTTCTTTACTTGATGCTAAAAAAATATTTAAAATCAATTAATTTTTGCATTTAACACAATTTTTTCTGTATACATTTAAATTGAGATGAGAACAGTTCCACGGTAAATCTGGTGATAGTCCATTGCACCCAAGCTGTCAATTTGACAGTTTCTTCGTCCACCATAACCTCGGTGCTCACTGTTGTGTTCAAAGGAGGAGTTCTTTGACTTGAATGTTCATCGTCTTCTTTCAGAATGGTAGGAGAGAGTGTAGTGCTTTCTGAATAAGTAATTCCTCAAGTTAAAAATGAACATTACACATTTGTGTTTTTACATTGCATAAAAATACTAAGTAAGAAATCTAGTACCGCGAAAATACTTTAATATGGCTCAAAAATGACAGCTCATACTTAAATATGATACTTAGACATCCCTCCTTAGTATTTTTATTCAGCGTTTATTTTGGAATACCTTTAGTAAGTATCTGATGTGGAACCACATCATGTGGTACAGTTTTAGTACCAGAGTTTCTTCCTTTGTGCAAAGGTATAAGATTTTGTGCCACTTCCATGAGACCGTACAGAATACTGGCAAAAAGGTAAACCTGAACTTCTGACGTAGATACAACTACCGGAGTCATATCTATGTGAACACAAACGCCTAAAAGACCATTATAATTATGATTTAGATTTTTCAAATAGTTTTTTTCTAGATTTAATGTTACCTAAATATCCTATGTCACTTTTACATTGCGCACTGCAAGAATTCTGACTCTGCCAATCCAAAGAATGATTGCTTTTAATCTGATTGTTTGGACTACTAGGAGCCGTACTGTCGCTGTTCTTTCCAAACGGTGTATTTATAGCGCTGGAAGCACTAAGGTTCGTGTTTCTAGAACCTTTTCTTTTCTGAGTCTGACTGGTCACATTGGAAACATTTAATTCATCTTAAAATAATCAAAATTGTTTTTTAAGTTTTTTAGATAGTTCACAAGAGTAAATTTCTTGCGAACTCTTTAACTTTTATTAACATCATTTCAAAGTATATAAATTTTGTTTCTTAGGCTGTATTCCGTTGCAAAACCAGGCGAACCAGACCTGTAAACTATGGTAAAGAGCGGTTCCTGAAAAACATCGGTTTGATACGGAACGGTTTGGTAAAATACTGGAAACGTCAAATGTTGACGTTTTCTAAATTTCAATACCTCTATTATAAAATTTATCTTTTATGCATTTTTAATGTACCTATTCTCTGCTTTTACGTTTGCTTCTTCTTTCCAATGGAGTTTAATATTGAAAAGTACTTTATTAATAAACTGTTAAACTCGTTAGACAGCTCAAGTGAAGATTTGAAGGTCAATATTAAAACAGATCAATAATAAATAATCAAATCTAATCAATATTTATATTTTTATAGCTTACAAAACATTCATGATTACTTGTTGTCTTGTTTTGCATGTTTTCTTTAAATGTTATTGACTTTAAGAAACAATGGCTGCATGATAAGTTTAAATGGTCCTAAAAAGTCATTCTATTTAGTTAATGAATTTTATTTACCTTTACTGCCTACCTCCATTGCTTTTGGATGTAAATACAAAATATTATTACAAATTTTAGAAATTAAATGACTACAAACATAAAATGGCTACAACCTAACCTAATCAAACTTCCAATATTTGCTTGATTTCTGTCACATAAATGACACTGATTGACAAACAAAACTAGAAAAACCAGTCTTCTCGCGCTGGTTAGTTTGGTGACAGTTATATACTCTGTTTTTTTTCTCAGGTAAGATTTCGACAGACGATGACAAAAGCAGATGACGTCCCATACCAATCTATTTATTTTACTAAAAAAAGTTTCTAATAATTTTTAAGTTAACTATGGATGGGTTTAAATATAAATTCGTCATGCGTCGTCACTTGTTGTTTTTAACCAGTTTGATTGGTTTATTTCAAAAATGACAGATCGTATTTCAATCTTATTGGTTTGACGGAAGGATGAACGACAAACGGACGCCGATGCGTATGAACTCGCCTTTAGATTTTTGACATTTGTCAAAGTCTTGCCAAATTATAGGTTATAATTTTGTGACAACTTTTGTCAAATTCCCTGCGTTTTGGAAGATGATGCATTGTGATTCGTGTTATTCCGTGTGTTTTGTGTCTTTTGAAGTCAAGTGGAGGAAAAATCGAGTGAAAATTAACTGTAGAACCCAGAGCACAGATTATGGTTAATACTCGCTGCCCACGCAGAAAGTCTTATACAGATACACCAATAAAGTTACTATCAATAAAGTTCGTATACCATCTCGTCGTAGATAAGTGCATCTCGAATATGGTAGAAGGACCATACTAAACCCATACTAAAAACTGGAGTAGCTGTAAAATATCAGTTGTAAAATTTTAGTACTGCAGAAAAATAATGTCAAAAGGTATTGGTTTAAAAAAATTAAGATTAAAGTTAATCAACCTGTGAGGTATAAAATTTGGTAAGTGTTATTATTAATAAAATAGTTTGTTTTATTTATGTTGTTTTATTTATTCCTGCGGAATATTACAAATTTGTATTTGTACATAAGTTATATTGATAAATATAATCATAAATGCGGGAAGTTTCATAAAGCTTGAAAGTAAGAAATAGTTCTTTTTATATTTTTTGGTATGTGGTGTCTTGTTTTTGTTTGTTGTGTATTAGCACATACCTTTTTTTATTAAATAAAATAACTCGATTACATTTTTTCAGTTTTATGCAGTTTCACAATATTTTGAAGTTACTTGTCAGTCAAATTTTAAATACATATATTAATTTCCTGCTATGCGTTCTAGTTGTACCAACTTATTTCTTTGTAAAATAAAATAAACTACTTTGAAATTAAAATGACAGACACATCTATCACTGTCAAGGATCTTCTCGTTGGACACACTATAACCGAATTTTTCAGGAAACCGTGTTCCGTAATAAGAAAACTTTCAGGAAACCGATAGAAACGGAACATAAAACCATAACCCAGGTAAGCAACGGAATACACCCTTAGTAAACATTTGCTAAAAGTCTATCCAAAGAGTTAAGGAAAAATTCGACAGATGACAACCAAAAAGGACAGAACATACAATTTAATATCGAGTTACAATGACAGACAATAACTGTTACTGTCATATAATATATTGTTGAACAGATTTATATAGTTCTTATCATGTAACTTAGAAAAAGTAAAATAGAAGAATAAAGCTTAGTTCAGTTCTTAACCAAAAATAAACATAAAGAAAAAAAAATGCCAAACCTTGACTAGTATTTTTGACAGTCTGACTGACATCCGTATTAGAATCCGCAGTGACATTAGCTTTAGAAGGGCGAGTAGATAACCCTACCGTAGCACTGAGAGTAACTGGTTTCAAAAATATCAATTTGTTACCATGCTGTATAGTGTAACAACTTAGATCAGACACTGACATTGTCCAGGGAAAGCTTGATTTATCTATAAAAAGAAATCTGTAAAAAATATCCTTTGTTTCCTTATGTACAATATAATTACCTATGGACCATACATTATCGGGCAAAGTAACTGGTAATGTAGTTAAATGTTTTTTAATTATTTGTCTTTGTACACTTCTGATGTTAGCAAAGGGTAACGTGATAACCATAATGTCAGGAGGATTTTCCTTATTCATTGTATTTTCGACAGCTTCTTGGATACCTAAAATATATATATCGATTGTAGAGTATAAAAACTACAAAATTTAACACTTAATCCTAAACACACTTCTTTATTATTATTATTATTATTATTATTATTATTATCTAAATAATTAAAATTAACTTTAGTTTTTAATTTATTTTAAGACTAGCATGTACCCGCAACTTCGTTCGCGTCGAATTAATCATTTGTAATGGTGATTATAAAGCAAAACAAGAATTTCCATTAACATACAAACTGGATAAAATTTTCTCACATTTATGTCAGCATGAGAAAAAAACAATATGGGGATATTATTATATAACTTGGTAATATTTGAGGGGTAGTTTCATCTCGTTGGAATTTGACTTTCGAAAAATCCGTTTGCCAAAAATAAGTTGTTTACGTCAAGCAGTTTAAGCAGAATCGTGGTTAATCAATTGCCCAACTTTTTGGAACACCCTGTATGATTTTTTAAAAAATTTCAAAATATGTAAAAAACAAAATAAATTATGCGTGTCCAAGCCTTTTCCCCAAAGACTAACCGTTTTTTAAATAACAAATATTGTAATATTTGAGGGGCGTTTCCACCCTCTTGAAATTTGAGATTCGAGAAACCCCTCCTAATCGAACCTCTACACCCCACAGTCAATCCGTTTGCCAAAAATCAGCTTTAAACGTCAAGCAGTTTAAGCAGAATCGTAATTACTCAATGGTCATATTTTATGAAACACCCTGTATAAATTTTTAAAAAATCGTAAAATATGTAAAACAACAAAATAAAATATACGTGTTTAAATGTTTTTCCGAAAAACTTACCGGTTTTTAAACAAAAAATATTCTAATATTTGAGGGGTGGTTTCACCCCCTTAGAATTCGAGTTTTGAAAAATCCCTTCTTATCGAACCTCTACACCCTAAAGTCAATCCGTTTTCCAAAAATCAGCTTTTTACGTCAAGCGCTTTAAGCATCAGGATCGTGATTAATCAATGACCAGATTTTTCGAAACACCCTGTATACATTTTTTTAAAATCTTAAAATATGTAAAAAAAACAAAATATAATATACGTGTTTAAGCGTTTTTTTTTCGGAAACTTGACCGTTTTTTAAATTTGGAACCTGGACCCCCTTGGAAGTGCACCCCCTTGGAACTGGAATTTCGAAAAAAACCTTATCGAACCTCTACACCCTAGAATCAACCTGTATACCAAAATTGAGCTTCTTACGTTGAGTAGTTTGAACAGGATCGTGATTAATCAGTGAGTCAGTCACTTAAGGATTTTACCGTATGATCGAATAAAAACGGCGTCAGCGATGGCTATGAAATGAAGATCGCTGTCATTTTATATGTAAAATTATATGGGGAATGTCAACGATGTTCATTTCCAAGCCAACTGGACGCCGTTTTTTTTCGATCATACGGTATTATATTGGTATCGATAATACGGAGTTGGGGGCAATAATTGAAATAGTTAGCCATAGAGATAGTAAAACCACAGTAAAACAATGATAACAATTTTTTGAGGTTTTCTGTTTCTTGATGGTTTCGTATAATACATATACATATAAATTAATAAAAGTACAGCAATAAGTAAAAAAAACTATGTGTGCACTATGTGCGCATATTTGAATACGCGTAAAAATTGTTTTTTGCCTGTAACAAATACCGTATGATCGAGAAAAAACGGCGTCAACGATGGCTATGAAATCAAGATCGCTGTCATTTTATATGTAAAATTATATGGGAAATATTTCCCAGCCAACTGGACGCCATTTTTTTTCGATCATACGGTAGTTTCATGCGTAAAAAATTGTTTTTTTGGCGCACAAAATTTGGGCGCGTAAAGAAGTTTCACTTCAAAAAATGTGTTTGTAATTTCCTTACCTTGTGATCCCACTGCTGACAATGACACCGTTGGAAAATATATGCTGCACTGGGAAATATCGCCGCAGAGGTACATTCCCTTCCAAACATCAAACCAAGTTTTTAAAATCGTGTATACTTTTTCATGTGCCTGTAGAAAAATAATTCAAGACAATATACAACACAATAAAAATTAGAGAAGCCAAACTTATTGTATGAGACTCAAATTCAAAGAAACTTACATCAACTAAATCTTCTGTTTGCAAATTTTCTATTAGACTTTTCTTACGTACTGCTTTCTGATCTCTATCAGAACTGCTATGAACTGATTCTATCTGATGAGTACTGAACTTCCTAGGCGTGTCAATAGCACTACCACTAGCATCTGACACGGTTTTTAGTTTTGATGGTGGACTATCTATCAAATCACTAAAATATTTTATTTTAAAAATGCTTTAATATGAAACTGTTTTCATTGATTTGCGTACTTCAATAAAAAATTCTTTGGAACATACAGTAACCATTTACAAAGAAGCGGATCTACACAAATTCGTATTTCGCGTAGATTGAATAATAGAATTGGAGGATGCTGTTGAACGTTTGGGTCCAAAGGGAACTGAATTATAGCTGTCAAAAGTGGTGGATTATCTGAGAAACTACTACAAAAAATCATGTATCAATATCTATATAATTAGTTTAATTTTAATTTATTGTTCAGTGGCCAATAAACACTACATGTAATGTATCATTTAATTTTACCTTTTTCTTGTATTAGACGATTCTTTATCTACACTATCACCTTCAGGACCAGATACAAACAACACTTGTTGTATATCAGTAGACATACCAGGTCTACCGCACCTTAAACTAGCCTTTGAATCAACAGACTCAAAAATAAAGGCTTTTATAGATTCCAAACTCATATCCATAGTCTGGGTAGAGTTTGTAACAACCTTTTTGAATCTTATACCTTCAACGCATATTTCCATGTATGGAAGTCCTAGATAAATATTAAAATTAATAATCTAGATAGTTTAATGAATTATTTTTATGTATTACCAAAATCCCTACATGCATCTGTGAGTAAGCTAGAGCTGTAAATACTTTTTCCCACAGGATCTGGCTCTTTTTGAAGCATTTTTTCGATGATGTTGTACACTACCAGCATTTTGGCTTTGGTGCCGTTCAAAGTGATGCTTTCGCTTTCCAAGACTATTTCGTTGTGAGGAATATCAGGATTTGTCCAGTAGTGAGGTTTAAGAATAGATTTGTCGCTAATACAAACAGAAAACATTCAAGATTAATATAAAAACTATTATTAATTAAAAAATGTCTATACCTATGTGGCGGATTCATCTCTCCAAAAAAATCCTTTATAGGTATTTCGCCACTGCACTGCAACAAGATTTCGGTATGGCAATGGGATCACCTCTCTCTCCTTTGTTAAATAATATTTTTATGGAAGATTTTGAAAATAATACAATAAATAGTTTTTCAAAAAAGCCTGTAATATGGCTGCGTTATGTTGATGGTATTTTTGTAATATGGCAACATAACGTTTCTGAAATCGACATTTTTTTGGATTATAAAAATTCTCGCGAACCTACCATAAAATTTACTTTAGAAGTAGAGAGAGGTAATCGTTTGCCATTTCTTGATGTTTTAGTGTCAAAGTTTCAAAATAAACTAATTTCAGACGTTTACAGAAAACCCACAAACACAGACCGATACTTAAATTTCACATCATCTAATCACAGTATAAGTGTAAAAAAAGGTGTTATAAAAATTTTATATGATAGGACAAAAATAATATGTACAGACGACATTTCACTAAAAAGATATATAAACCACATAAAAAATACATTAATAAACAACGACTATCCACTATACTTTATTGACAAAACATTAAACGAAATACAAACCCCAAATCAAAGACACAATGATAACAATACACAATATATACAACTTACAATTCCATACATACGAGGCGTTTCGGAAAAAATAAGAAGGATAGGAAAACAATATAACATACGAACATCTTTCAAAACACAAAATACACTTGGATCCATTTTATCACATACTAAACCAATGAATACAGAACAACAAACAAAAAATGTAATATACCAAATATCATGTGAATGCGATAAATTTTACAATGGTGAAACATCTAGACCCTTAAATGTTAGAATTAAAGAACATAAAGATTATTTAAGAAAGGGAGACTTTCACAAATCTAAGATTTGTCAGCATTCATGGGACACGGGGCACAGAATAAATTTTAATAACGCCAAAATTATAATGAAAGAAGCGATAGCCTCTAAAAGAAAAATAAAAGAGGCTTTTTTAATTCAATCTAATAAAAATAAATGTATTGCTCATGTATCTGTAGATATTAGTAACGTATGGCAATCGCTTCTTTGATTTTAAAGAACATAACATAAATAAACATAACATATGTAAAATTTAAAAATAATCATACAGAAAGTTTTGGGCTTTGTGGTTTTGCCTTATTAAGTAATTGTTATCAGGTAGTAATTGTTAATTTTGAAGTTTAACTTGATATAATGTCATTTTAACAGAACGTCGATCTGTAATAACGGTATCTGTTTTAAAAAAGTAAAGTGTTCTCGAATAGTTGAATTTAAACATTTCAAATAGTTTTTTTCTTTATTCTTTGTATTTTTTTTTTGCTTCCAACCACAAAACGTTAAGCATTTTTTTCTTTGTTAGGCAAATTTGTATAACTGTAAACATAACTTCTGACAAGCAGTGTCCGTTTAGGTTTAACGCGGAAGTGTTTACAAAAAATAACTATTTTATTTTGTAGATTTTCTTGCAGTGCAGTGGCGAAATACCCATAAAGGATTTTTTTGAAGATATTATTAATTAATATTTCTATTTTGAGCTTTACCTGTAAGATATTGAACTGGGTGTCAAAATAATGCTCTGGCACATCGGATTGACCACCAATCGGCTAAACAAACCGACAATTTTGATAGTTCTCTTCGAATAGCAAGCCTCGAATAACTGCATAGGAGGTTCCGGTAGTTGACAGGTAGTATGAACCAGTCTATCAGCGTACATCGGGTACTGGGTGCTTATGTCAATAAACTGACATTCTATGGTTATTTTTGGCAAGGTGGAGGATGAAGTAGGCATGTTTGAGGTCGAATGTTTCTACAATTTCCAGAATTTTGTTGTATTTTTAAATTATTGATTGATTATACTAAGGGCTGGCAAAGGTTAGTCTTGGGTCGATATTTCCGTATGTAAGAAGAGTACAATGCGTTTATAATGTACTGGACAAAGAGAGAACAGTAAAAATGTTGCCAAACGTATGAAATAAACCGAGAAACTGTGCACATTGCTAAGACACGTGGAAGGGGATATAGCAGATTCGTCGGGGTCGACCCAATCAGTACTTAAAATTCTAGGGAAGGGTGTACATCTTGCGTTCAGCTTCACGATTTAATTACGTCTCGTGATACTTTATTTGCTTATTTATTAATGAGTCGTTGTAATTTTCCCTATAGCTTGTAAATTTCTAAGTACAAGTTAGAAACACTTGCACTTTTGGTATAAATAAGTGGAACTGAGTTAGTGTTCGACAGTGGTCGTGTTATTGGAACTCTGAATTCAAAAATCGATATCTCGAAATCCATTAGAAATAATTGATTGTAGTTTTTCAAAAACTTTCTTAATATTTCTGCTATATTTTCTTCGCAGACAGTATATGAAAATCTTTATAAATAAAAAAGTTACACGATTGCTGAAAATTGCAATGCACTAAAAGTAAATGGATGGGTTTTTTAAAGGTTTTCAGTGAAAAAAAAAACAGCGACCTATCGAATTTTTCTTATTTAAACATCTTGTAAAAGATCCGAATTTCAAAATAAAAAAAAGTTTCAATATCTAAAGTGGTTCTTGAGTTATCGCGTGCTATTTGTTAAAAAGTTGAGTTTCTAAATTATCGCGATTGCTGACATTTTCTCGTTATAAAAATGGACACCCTAATGATACCCTTATAATTCCATTTCAGATGCTCAGAAACATATCTAATTATTTTATCTAGTTATCTTTTCTAAAAAAAGTCTTTTAAAAATAAGCGGTTTGCGATCGTGATTTTACTTTACTTGATAGGGAAAGGCGTACCGGAGAAATGTGGCAACGCCGTAACAGCACACCGTCGCATGTCTCTCACTCCGACTTAATAAGATCCCTATGCGATTTACTTCCACACATGTAAATACCGACCCAAAGGTAAGAATTGCCAGCATGGTATAATATGGTAATCTCTCCTTAAACAATTGTTTACCTTGCTTCTTCTAGACAAGCAGCACCTGCTGGGCTCGAAAAACGGATGATCCATTAGGTCCAGTTCAATTTGTGGTGCGAAGAATGTGACCCTTAAGCTTCTACTGGGTATAAATTCCATTAGGGCATCAAAGTCATCTTCGGATGGAGGCAATAGCTCTTGCAAGGATAGATGAGGTTTCGGGACGTAGTAAGGCGGGTAATCGTAGAAGGACGATGCCATTTGTAGCGTGCTGAATCGGTGAAATAGGCCAGAACAGATGCGTAAACGCAGAGGACCGAGGCATATCCTCAAGGCAGAAGTTTCTGTCAAGTTGCTAAAAAGAATTCTTATAGTCACGTTACTAAAAGAAATACATAATTTTTTTTATGTGGCATAAAAAAATACATACAACCCCAAATTTTCACCTTTCTACCATCAACCCCTATTTTTTAATAGCGATATTATTAATTCAATGATTTTCAACCCTGATGAATAAAAATGACTGCTGTCCTATAAAAAAATATTTAAATGGCAAAACAACGTTTGCCGGGTCATCATAAAAATAAGTAATAAAATTCGTATAAATGTATGTTCTAAAATGCTTACTGTTGGAGATACAGGGTGTAAAAATTTCATTTTTATATCTATTTTTTACAAATAATTTATGAAGTAACGCCAATATTTGGATGAAAATTGGTGTCGGGGAGTTTTTTGACATGAGAAATTTGATTTTGATGTTAATATGATTCATACTTGTAGACAGCGCCACCTACGTATTTTTAACTGGTTTGAAGAGTAATAACTTTTCGCCTGTACCTGTATACAACTACTGAATAAAAGAATACACATTTGCGGTGTTTTTTACGTAAAAAGGGTCTCTTGGTAAAAATCGCTACGAGTAATGGTTTTCGAGATATTTGGAATCGAAATTATCAATACCTATCATCATTAACATAAATTAAACATGTTGACTAACGATTTTTACCAAGACATTTTTATGTAAAAAGTCACGTAAATGTATGATTTTTCAGTCAGCAGTTTTATACAGGTACGAACAAAAAGTTATTACTCTTCAAAACAGTTAAAATACATGTAGGTGGCGCCCCCTACAAAAAGGACTCATATTGACATCAAAATCAAATTTTTCATGCCAAAAAACTACCAGACCCCAAGTTTCATCCAAATATTAAAGTTACTTCAGAAATTATTTGGAAAAAATCTAAACAAAAATGAAACTTTTGCACCCGGCATCTCCGAAACTAAGCATTTTAGGGCATACATTTATACAACCTTTTTTACTTATTTCTATCTGCAGTATATGCTGCCGAAGTTTCCAGAATACAGTTCGGACCACCCTGTATATTCATAATTATATATAAACAATAATAATTACCTGAATTCATAATTACTCCCCATTTCCGACAAGATATCACTACTAACATCTTCAGGCACCACAATCTGATACACATAGTCATAAGCAAAAGCGGGAGTCCTTTCCAGCAACACCGACTCGGTATTGGTGATCATGTGATGGTCCCAGGACGTATTGTAAACCTTCTGTCCGCCCTTGTTCTCCACGGCCTCCACGTCGAACAGCGAGTCGCTCTTGTGACAGTTGGAGGGGGCGCCGATTTTCAAATATGGCGCCGTGCTCTCGTTGACTTCCGGCGAGCCGCAGCTACAGTGACCGGCCGGAAACAGGGTGGCTTCGCTGACGCCACCTGTACAGTTAAACCAGGTTAAGCCGTGGATTATGGTGTCGCTGTAGATGCCTTGCAGGTCCAAGGTCAGCATGGGGTAGTAGCGAAGTTTCTTTTGCTGGTAGTAGCTCTTGTCGTTTGATGATTCTGATACCTGTAATGTTATAACCAAGACATTTAAATAAAGAGACACAAAACTGCGGTAATCGCAAAACATTTTCCGATACACGTCAACAACCGTATCGAAATTGACACTAAAGCTGACTAAATAAAATTTTGGCAAAAATGTTTAAATTTGTTGAATAATTTAAGATACCGAGCAGATCTTCATTTTACTTTATAGAGCAAATGATTGTAAAATATATTTTATTTAGATTAAAGCTGCAAAAATTAGTTTAAAGCGATTTTTATTATCGCCGCGCCATGTTGGTCACAGTGCGCTGCGGTCAGCAACGTTGTCCTTTATTATTTGACAATTATCATAATGTCAGTCATTATTTTGCATAATATTGTGTTGTTGTTGAATATTTGGAAGTAATTCGCGGTTTTTGCCGATTTTCATAGTCTTTTTTAAAAAATTGTACTTCTAAGCACAAACAGTTCTTTTAAGAACTTAATTTTCAAGTTTTTGTATTGCATTTCTTGAAATTGTGTGTTGAAAGTATGCCGAAGCATTTAAACAGTCGAAGCAAAGAGCTTCTAGCTTACTACCTCTAAACAACTACAGTTGTAAAATCTACATATATAAAATGCTAATGTCTCTACTGAAGTAACGATTTGCTATAGAAAGTTGCTTTTTTTAATAAAAGATGACTAATTGGCTCTTCTAAAAACTGGCGTCGCCGCATTTTTTGTTTTTCATTTAATTAAACAAAAATTAAAAAGTATTTTTTTTCCTGATGTCGTGGCGGATGCGCCAGGCTTTAACTAGTAAATAATAAATAACATAAAACATGGTCAGTAAAGACTGACAAATCCACAACATTTCAAATCAAATTCAAATGTGTCAAATGAATCGTCAGACAGAACTGTCAAGGATCCCCACCCTAGGGTATCCCCATCTACCATGCATGAATACATGGGTAGCATTAAGCTGCGTATAAATATGTCGAGACGAGTGCGAGAGACACCCGAGACGAGTGAACCTCAAGCGGATTTGAGGTTGACTCGTCATATTGGGACGGGGTCTGAGCTTCGAGCCGAGCCTATGCCCAGCCGGACGGCGTTGTCTCCGTTTTTTCCGGAGCCTTTGGCGAACCATCAAAAGGATTGGGGCGTCTATTTAACCAGTGGCGTATACACCGCGGCTCCGCGGAACAATTGCCTCGAGTCTCAAGGGGCTCGGATTCCACATCCCATTTTTATATAAAAATAAATAGTCTTTCCTTTATTTGTAATAATGTTAATAATGCATCCTAACTAGAAAGATGCAATTTTGTCTTCTCTAAAATAGTATAGGTAAGTTAGCCAAAGTAGGTAAATCTCATATACAAAGATTTATTAGTGATTTCTTTTATAAAAACATGAAAATTTTAAGAAAAATGAATAAACGTAATGAACTTTTCGTCGAGTTATTAACGGCTCAAACGTAAATTATGCGCTATTTCTGCTGAACGGAATTAAAGATGTAAAACAAGCTTCTTTACATATAGGATGCATAGAAGATAAGAGAGGCAAATCGAGTGTGTTGAAAAAGGTGGCCATGCTCTCAGAAGTTCCTTACGGTACTTTCATAAATAAAGGGAATCGACAAAGAAAGGAACGATTCGATATAGAAAAATTCAGAAATTTGAACTATCCAGACTACTAAGAAACTTAATTTAAGGCAAATATGAAAATAATAAAGTTCCCGCCATAGAAATAATTAAAAAATACTCTCCGAGCTTTAAAAAAACCCTGTTCAGAAAGCACATTACGGCGAAGGTTTAAAAAACTGGGAATTAGATTTAAAATTATATACATAATAATATTTTAAAAATTATTAATAAGCGTGCTGCAATGATGGAAAGCCATAGAATAATAATGTAGCGAATTGAATACCTTGAAAAAATATACAACTTTAGAAATGAAGAAATGCAGATATATTATTTACAATATATGTTAGTTATTGGCATTTAAATGTAGATTTAAATTAATAATTTAAATCTTAATTACTTAAATTTCTAATTTTTTAAATAAATAAAGTCGAATTAGGTCTTATCTTACAGCGCTTTCAAATGGAACGGAGCATCCGCGACTTCGAGCAAGTACCATGAGCTTATATGAACAATTTCACCTGGGTCGCGTATGCTCCGTCCGGATGAGCTATCTTGAAAAAACATCCGTGCGGACGCTCTGCGCGTACGGTCCGCTCCATCTGAAAGCTGAAAGCGCTGTTACTCTATTTAAAATTTTTATAGATATACAAACCACATACAAAATATATTATTGAATAAAATAATTAAAGACTCAAAAAAACGGCACTGGCAGAAGGCTCCGCCGCCGCCGCTGCCGTGTCGTTATCTCCAGGTATCTCAGTCGGCGTTCTCCAGTTTTTTTTAATGTAAACAGCCCGAATATAATTTAAATTTATCATGAATTCCTTTAATTTATCTAGCTTGTTTTTTACCTATTTTGAAATTAAACAAACATATACAGGGTGTTTCAAAAAACATGTTCCATCTCTCGTGGGGAAGTTCCTCACGTAAAAATAAGATTTATTTTTTATATCAACCAATCCAATTCTGCTTTGATTCGTAGCTACAGGGGGTTAAAATAGGGTTCCCAACCGTCCTCTATTCCAGAAACAGTCCTCTTTTTGATCTGATTGTCCTCTTTTCTCTCACGTATTGAAAACTTTGTTACATACTAACTTCAAAATCTAAAAAATATTCGTTTATCGCCACAATGCTTTAAAGAATTGTTAATCTGTGTCTTTTATGTAATTTTATGTTTACTTACTGTTAGTTTATGTCTTGAAAAAAAGTTTGTTGACAATGGTTTGCTTTATTTTAATAAGTTTTGAGTATAAATATTTTTGTGTATTTTAAATATTTATCGCATACCGTTTATATAACTTTTTGGTAAATTCTCGACATTTGAGCGACGTTTCAAAAATGTTTCGCCTGTGCCTTTTTTTATCCTCTCGCCCCTATTTTTTATTTTCAAAGTTGCCAACCCTAGGTTAAGTGTTTTATCATTTTCTTCCAAGTGCTTTTAGTAATTTGAGATCGTTTGATGACTGATTTAGTTCTGATCCGGGTAGTTTTTTGTATAAAACAGTGCCACCATCGTCGATTTTTTTCGTTAAATGCGAATAAGAAAATATCCTGATTATATTCTGGCCCTATCCCTTATTATTTTTATTTACAAGCGATCTTAAGTTTATAACATATACATATATTTTATTTAATTGTTAACATTAGGGTAGTTTTACCAATTGTGTATGTGTGGAATTCCACTGATATGTGTTTTAAGTTGTTTGTTAAATTTTTAAAATTTTTTGATTGTATTTTGCTCTCTTAACTTTGTAGTGTCCTGAAGATGCAAATAAATTTTGCGAAACGTCGACAAATTTAAAACAAAGGACTTCTGTTGATTTTTTTCGATCCTAATCCAATTAAAAAACACATTATACTTAAATTTATTAATTAATTTTTTAAAATATTGAATGGTATCGAATAATACTTTAATATATTTATCAATATTTTAAAGTATCGATACTTTATATTCAATACAACCGATACCAAAATATCGATACTGCCTCAGTATCGCACAGCCCTATGAAGAATTTTGTGGGTTCGCCAAAGGCTCCACTGAAAATGGATAGCCGCGAGACAACGCCGTTCGATGGGCAGGGACTCTGCTCGAGGCTAAATCGCTCGGCTCGAGGCTATAATATGACGAATTCCGCTTGAGGTTGACTCGTCTCGTCCTCGTCTCGGCATATTAGTACGCCTTTTGGAAAGAATTTGCTATAGCCTCGTTTCATACTCGTTTCGGGTTTGTCTCGTACTTGCCTCGGCATATTTATACGCGGCTTTATACTCGTTCCTTAATCTTTTTATTCAAAGATTGATAAAAGTGTTTTTAAAATAATTTTAAAAAAATGTTTATACCTTAAAGGTGATAGTCGCTCGATCCACATACAATCCAATCTGTAAAGTATGTCCGCTAGGACCACATATGTTTTCATCGTCATCCCACTCTAACTCCCATGGAGCTGGCAACACTGAGGAAACATACGACCAAGCCCAACCAGTCCATGTTTCAGCATTTTCTGGGTTATCTGAAGAAAAATAAACATAATATACAAAATAAAGCATATATTAAATATTCAGTGTTTTACCTGATTTGCAATCACTTGATGGTCCTGCAGTATCTGTTGTTGAACAACTTTCAGATTTTAATTGTTTTTGTTGAAGCGCATACAGCAACATCAACAGTCTCATCAGCATAGGTACTTGTTGCTCTGTCATACTAAATTCCATGCTTTAATAAAACAAAGAATGTAAAAAATGTCTATACCTATGTGGCAGATTCATCTCTTCAAAAAAATCCTTTATGGGCATTTCGCCACTGCACTGCAAGAAAATCTACAAAATAAAATAGTTATTTTTTGTAAACACTTCTGCGTTAAACCTAAAAGGACACTGCAATAGTTTTTTTCTTATACTTTGTATTTTTTTGCTTCCGACGACGGCAAGAGATAAACTTTCCGAAACGTTAAGCATTTTTTTCTTTGTTAGGCAAATTTGTATAACTGTAAACATAATCTCTGACAAGCAGTATCCGTTTAGGTTTAACGCAGAAGTGTTTACAAAAAATAACTATTTTATTTTGTAGATTTTCTTGCAGTGCAGTGGCGAAATACCCATAAAGGACTTTTTCGAGAGAAAGAATGTATATTTAATGAAAAATACAGTGTTCCAAGAAACCACCATAAAGGATTCTGGTTTGAGATTTTCATTTGCTTTGGTCAATGTCTGTATCACAAAAGCACTGGAAAAGCCATCTAGACGCTGTTTTTTGCGATCATAATGTCTACTATATTAAAATAGGCAAAAGAGAAATCATGATTTATATTATGTAAGTAAGTAACTAATAACAAATCTCTAATAACTCAAGAAATATCAATGTTAGGTAAAGGAAGTGTTCAACAAAACAATAGACTGGATAAAGGTGAGTTCATTTATGACATAATAGGTATATAGGATGTTCCAGTCAACATAGTCAAAACTTGTTCACATAATTTTGTTCACCCTGTATAAGCAATTTAGCCTCTATTAGTAAGACAGGTTTTAAAAGACACTGTTATAAAGTATTTTTGATTAAAAGTTATAAAAAATGCATTTTTATCATTTTAAGACAACTTTAAATGTGTAAGAAAAATTAATTCAAAAATGGCCATATTTTAACAGCCACTCAATACACATTATAACAAATAATAAGTTTTCTGGCAAACTCTAAATAAGCTAAAACACTATGGTAAAGTTTTTTTAGAAAAAATTGTGACACCTTATATAAAAACAGACTAAACATAACAAAACTAAAATGATTTTATAATAAAATTACTTTTAATAAACTTACTTGTTGCAATAAATATCAAGTCTTGTTGTAGAAGCCTTATTTGCTGTAGCTGAATGGTAATTTTTCAACAAATGAATAGTCATAGAACACCTAAATACATTTTTTACACACAATCATTAAAATAATTCAATATTCCATACTAACAAACCTGTATAACATTGGTTCTTGATACACCTCTATTTTACCAGAAGCATTCCTTTTATCTAAGCACAAAGTTAAATCATTCACACTAATAATTTTTCTTAATATTACATGTGCCAGAGATAAATCTAGAATAAAAGTTTTAAAAAATAATTCAACATGAATAACAACAAGTTTTCTGGTCACAACAAGTCAAGTGTGCTTTGCATAGCAGATAAACAATTCTTTAGGAAATAACATTCATTTTTTTATCAAACAAAGTCAAAGAGAACTTGATCATAAAACTTTTTAAATCAATATTTAACAGAATTACCGGTATATGCTGACTCCCACTTATCACTAGCACCTTCAAACTTCAACAATCTTACATTCATTGACAAAACTATATCTTCCTCCACATATTTTAGAATCAAATTATTACAATACACACATATGTTACTAACAATTTTGTTTATCAAAGACTGTATATACCCAGGAGGGGCTTCAACATTCTTATGCTGTCCCGGTACTTTTTTTTCTTTGTTACTTTTTTTCCTTTGAGGCGTTTTTACCGGCCCTTTTCCTTTCAAATTTAGTATACACTCTAAAAATCGATTAATTCAGCACGTATTTTGTTTAATTTCTATATTTACCTATGGTGTTTATAGTTATTTTGATGGGTTCTGAAGTAATTTTGGTCCATGGTACATGTATGGAAAGTTCTCTAATATTTCCCGACACAAAACTAAAAGGTAGTTGTAATTCCTCCTCTAGAACTTCCAGATTCAATTCTAAGTTATGAAAGGTGGCGTCTCCACCCCACAGAGAAACCTAAAGTGGAATTACTTACTTTTTATTAACAACTTCTAAGTTACTTACATTAGTGTCCTCTAGCTTAAGATTATTAATATATCTATTCACATAACTCAATATAATTGGAGTTATATACGATTCTAATTTAAACATTGCTACTATATTATTCTATATCCTGGCAAAACATTATTCAGACACTAATTAGTACATTTTGTATAAATTATTTTTTACTTATAGATTTTAGTAGACAGGTTGAATAACGAATATGTGGATAACGATAACACAACACAGATTAAAATTGTTACTGTAATGCAATTGTTATCAATTGTAATTAATGTTAAAGGTGTCTATTGAGAAAGGTTACAAAAACATGAATTTTTAAAGTTTTTGGAAACTAAACGTCAATTTAAACGTCCACAAACCGGCGATCAGCTGATTCACCATTGCTATACTTGTTTATTTTGTTGTTGTCTTTGTCTAATAATTAACCATAGATTATAATTTGAACTAGCCGAATGACCTGCCATGAACGAATAAAGAATAAAAAAAAATCTATTGCAAATCTGTGGTTGCTCATGTTTAGGACCATAAGTATAGAAAAGAAGAGTATTATTTTATTCTTTGGTTACCGTTCTTTTAAGTCCTGAAATACGAAAAAGAAGAAGAGTGCTGGTGGCGCCATAGTAGAAAAAGTGAGAGAATTTTGAACTAATATGTTTCCAAGGTTGCCAAGATATTAACGAAATCTTGAAACTAATTTGAATCAATATTTTTGTAAGACTAAAATAAATTGAACAATTACAAAATCATATAAACCTATAATAAAAACTTTGTTTCAGTAGTATAAATAATATATTTTCTTTTATACACAGCATTATTTATGCAATAAAAATTACCATTCTGTTGTACATATGTTCAATATGACAACGTCGACAAACGATATTTTTTGTTTTAACAGCCATGATGTCCCTCTTACAATTTATTCGCTTTTTGGATAAAAAAAATGATTTTTCTTGCGTTATTTGAGTTTATTCTGTTTCTTAAGGCGTGTTTAATCTTCTGAAAATGTAAGTACCCATTATTTTGCCTGTTTTCTCTAGATTTTCTCTTTCAAATATTTCAGTTACGTCATCATCGTTAGCTTTTCCAATTGTATATTTTTCCAATTTTCAAAATTTTCTTTTTTAAAATCGAGTATATGGAAATATAGATACATTGCTTGATGTCTCTATTGTACAATAAGAATAAAGTTACTTAGAATATTGCTTCATTTATATTACTTAGAATATAGCTTCTAAAAAGATTTGGTATTTTTTCAACTATTTTTTCAGAATTTAAAGATATTTTTTTATTCCTAAAGGTAACTTTTTAGGTGTTTGTACAGGCAATCAAGTATTTTTTACGTCTTTTAGAATAAGTCAGTGTTAGTGTACCCATAAAGGTGACCCCAATTCTTCACAATTACTTTCAGATCAAGAAAAAAACGTTTTTCAGTTTTAATATTATACGTCGTCATATTGTAGTCAAATTTGCATTGTTTTAATATCATGCTTTAATTATAGTTTTCTTTTTTAGGTCTGTTATTAATCATAAACACGACCCAGCATATAAAGACCACTTAAAAGAAGAAACCTCTTTGTCACCTCTTATACTCTGATGTTTGCAGAGATATTTGGCTATTATTCTGGTTTACGAGATTAGTTTTCTATAATCCTATTAAAAGTAAGTTTTTTTTATTTTTTTAAATAATTTTAATAAACCGATTAAATATCTATTAACTAACTATATTTCTTAATATTTTAATTGTGATTTTCTTGGGTATAGTTTTTTTATTGGGGTTCTTTATTAAAAAAAAATTAATATAAAGAAACCTATACCCAAGAAAATCACAATTGAAATATTGAATAAAGGTTTAAGAAAAAGAAAGATATCTGTATTTCTTAAGATATATTTAATATTATTATAAAATAAAAATAATAAACACAATTATTATAGCATTTATAATTAATAAAATATAATATTATTTATTAGAGATTTTATACAACAAATCGAAGGATGTATACAGTTCCAGGTTCCAGGGCAGTATATTTATTCTTGGCAATATCGAGCCAAATAATACATCAGGATATAAGGATGACTAAAATTTTATTTCTTGTGGGTAAATATATTTTTACTAGTTTGTAATGTTCGTCAGTGTTAAGTATGTCAGTTAAGTAAGAAAACATTTTCACTAAGTGTTTGAGTTACAATTTTATAATTCCTAATTATCATAGACAAATTCAGACCATCTATATTTTCACTGCTTTGGTAGAATATCATCTACTGAGAATTTTACTTCCTCTTGTTTTTGGTTTACTTTAGTAAGAAGAGATATATAATATCATTTTTAAATTCTATTAAATATTCCATTGGCTGTATTTCTATAGATTGTATTTGTTTGGTAAATATACAATCTATATACTTACAATTTTACTACATGTTTTGTATGGTTTATTTTCATTTCTCTATAACAGTTTGACTCCCTTATTTTCTTGGTTGTAGGAATAATATCATCACTTATCAATTCTATGAAATATTCAATGTTGACTGTGTTGCTGTAGGTCTTATTTGTTTTGTAAAATATACCATCTACCTAGAATTTTACTTCATGTTGTGTATGATTAATTTTCATGTTTGACTTCCATATTCTATTAAAATAAAAAAAAGTTTCATTGACTCTATTTCTATAAGTTTTCTTTTATTTCTATTATTTTTATTTTAGTGTCCTGCTTGTATTAACTTTTTGCTTTTGTAATTTCTTGCACAGATGTGTAGTTTTGATTTGGTTACATCAACTCCAGAGCATCATAACTAGTCTCCCCTAGGAGGAAGACCCGATGAGTTACCCCCTAAAATTGTACTAATATGTTTTTTTTAAACACCTAATATTATTGTATTTTGTAAAATATGTAGATATAAATTATAATGAAATATAATACTATTTTTATTTCTTTTACAGATTTTGTACAACAAATCGATGGATGTATACAGTTCCAAGGCAGTACATTTATCCTATTCACGAATATTACCAACAATGCATGAGGATTTATAGTATACTAGCGTGAACCAGCGACCTCGTTCGCGTCGAATTAATCATTTGTAATGGTGATGATAAAGCAAAGCAAGAAAATTTCCATTAACATACAAACTGGATAAAATTTTCTCACATTTATGTCAGCATGAGAAAAAACAATATGGCGATATTATTATATAACTTGGTAATATTTGAGAGGTAGTTTCATCTCATTGGAATTTGACTTTCGAAAAATCCGTTTGCCAAAAATAAGCTTTTTACGTCAAGCAGTTTAAGCAGAATCGGGGTTAAGAAATTACCCAACTTTTTGGAACACCCTGTATGTAGGATTTTTTAAAAAAATTCAAAATATGTAAAAAAACAAATAAATTATGCTTGTCCAAGCGTTTTCCCGAAAGACTAACCGTTTTTTAAATAACAAATATTGTAATATATGAGGGGCGTTTTCACCCTATTGGAATTTGAGATTCGAGAAGCCCCTCCTTATCGAACCTCTACAATCAATCCCACAGTCAATCCGTTTGCCTAAAAATCAGCTTTAAACGTCAAGCAGTTTAAGCAGAATCGTGATTACTCAATGGTCATATTTTATGAAACGCCCTGTATAAATTTATAAAAAATCTTAAAATATGTAAAACAACAAAATAAAATATACGTGTTTAAGAGTTTTTCCGAAGAACTCACCGGTTTTTAAGTAAATAATATTTTAATATTTGAGGAATAGTTTCACCCCCTTAGAATTCGAGTTTCGAAAAATCCCTTCTTATCGAACCTCTACATCCTAAAGTCAATCTGTTTTCCACAAATCAGCTTTTTACGTTAAGCGCTTTAAACAGGATCGTGATTAATCAATGACCAGATTTTTCGAAACACCCTGTATACATTTTTAAAAAGTCTTAAAATATGTAAAAATACAAAACAAAATATACGTGTTTAAGCGTTTTTTTCGGAAACTTGACCGTTTTTTAAATAAAAATATTGTAATATTTGAGGGGTGGTTTCACCCTCTTGGAACTGGAATTTCGAAAAATCTCTTCTTATCGAACCTCTACACCCTAGAATCAACATGCATGCCAAAATTGAGCTTCTTACATTGAGTGGTTTGAGCAGGATCGTGATTAATCAGTATATCTGTCACTTAAGGATTTTATACAGGGTTGTTCACCACATACGACACGGAGTATTGTAGCTAAACGATGAGATTTTTACAAATTGTAAGTTTTGGGTTCGATGAAGGACTATTAGAGGTACAATTTAAAAATAATTTTACAAGATACAGAGTGTCCCAAATAAGTAAAAAATATCAAAGTTGTATTTTTTTAAATGGAACACCCTGTATATTATTACATTTTTAGTTTCTACGATTAAAATAAAGGTAAATTTGATTAAGGTTTATTATACTTAAACCTTACCGTTTTTGAAATATTTTCAATTTTGTAAAATGGCAGTAAAAATTTTAAGGCTTCATTTCTCCAAGGGTATCAAAGTTTTTAATACTAAATATTTATTGAACTTTATTTACTGATCAGTTATTGTGTTGCAATGATAAAAATAATACTACCTTATACAGAGTGTCTAAAAATTTATTTTAAATAATTATTAGCTTCAAACGGCAATAACTTGTTTAATTTAAATGAAATGCCCTGTATATTTTAGGAGAATCAGATGCACAATTAAATTGTCTATCAAATTATATTATACCATTTTTTACTTATCTCTTTAAGTTTCCGTAGAAAATGCATTTCCTTTTAATTTAGAACTTATTTATCAATATACCCATGGACTATTGACATTTTAGATTATTTTTAAAGATGTACCGAATTTTTAAAGAGTACAGATACATGACAGATACTAATATTGTCGATGTAATTCGTTTATTTCATTAAAAAATTAAAAAAACTGTTTAAATATTTGTTAAAGAGGATCAGTTAATATGATTCCAGTATTCAAACAACATTAACTGACTGTTTGCTTTGATTAATAATAATTGCTCCAAATACTAAAAAACTGAATTTTGTATGGGCATTAGACAGTGTGATAAAAAGTAACACCTTAAAAATGATATTTCATTTTTTAATAAATGCTTATTTATAACTACAGAGACTTTAATTTGATAACTTATTATTATATTGATTTCTGACTCAAATCCACATTTATTTATAATAATTTAATAACGAACACAATTAAGTATGTAATTAATTAGTATATGGGCGCAAATAATGGTGTTATATTTAATTAATGGTATACTCTTTTATAAAGATTTAAATAGTTTTCTTTTTGCATACAAATGGGCTAGTAATATTATCGTTTTGCTAAAAACGATAATATTACTAGTCTGTACATTTTGTACATTTGTTGCTTTAAAAACAATCTAAAATGTCAATATTCCATTGATATATTGATAAATGAGGTCTAAATTATAAGAAAATGCATTTTCTACGAAAACTTGAAGGGATAGGTAAAAAATGGTATAATACAATTTGATAGACAATTTAATTGTGCATCTGATTCTCCTAAAATATACAGGGCATTCCATTTAAATTAAAGAAGTTATTGCCGTTTGAAGCTAATAATTATTTAAAATAAATTTTTAGACACTCTTTATAAGGTAGTATTATTTTTATTATTGCAACATAATAACTGATCAATAAATAAACTTCATTAAATATTTAGTATTAAAAACATTGATACCCTTGGAGAAATGAAGCTTTAAAATTTTTATTGCAATTTCACAAAATTGAAAATATTTCAAAAACGGTAAGGTTTAAGTATAATAAACCTTAATCAAATTTACCTTTATTTTAATCGTAGAAACTAAAAATGTAATAATATACAGGGTGTTCCATTTAAAAAAATACAACTTTGATATTTTTTATTTATTTGGGACACTCTATCTTGTAAAAATATTTTTAAATTGTAGCTCTAATAGTCCTTCAACGAACCCCAAACTTACAATTTGTAAAAATCTCATCGTTTAGCTACAATACTCCGTGTCGTATGTGGTGAACAACCCTGTATATTTTTTATAAATTTTTATGGATTTTATAAATTTTATGTCTTTTGGATATATACGAGTATATTTATACTGGTTTTTAATGTTCATCAGTGGATTTCATCATTTTTAAATTTAAGTAGGAAAAAATATCCAAGTCTCTGAGTTACTTATTATCATAGACAAATTCAGACCATCAATTTTTCTTTTGAGCCTATTTTTGGGCTTTTGATCACTTCTCTTCTTTTTTTTTGTAGAATACAATCTACTTAGAATTTTACTTCATGTTTATTGGTCAACTTTATGTATATTGGTCATAGTTTTTGGTTTACTGCTTTCATTTCTCTATAATAGCCTGACTCCCATATATTATTGATTGTGGAAATAATATTTATTATTTAACATTTCTAAAAAATATTCCATTGACTGTATTTTTACTTAAGTCTTATTTGTTGGTATTATCTTATATACCATCTATTTTCATTTTTCTTTAATAGCTTGACTCCAATATGTTCTTGTAGGTAAAATAACATAATTTATTGATTCTATAAAATATTCTATTAACTGTATTTGTATAAGTTTTCTTTTATTTGTATTATTTGTCTTGTGGCATTCTTCTAATATTTTTTTGCTTGTGTTTCTTGCACAGAATTTTAGTTTTGATGGTTTCATTTTTATGTAATTTTTTCAGATTATTTGTAACATTATTACAATTAATTAACACTTAACAATTATATTACCCTTAAAAATCTCACAACAATGGTTAATTTCGAATATTTTTCCTGGCGCATTCGCCATTTATTCAAAAAACCTGACTCGTCTTCCATTCCACTTCTGGCTTTTCTAGCATTTTTTCAAAGGATTTTCCTGATTAACATCGACTCCAGAGCATCATAGCTAGCTTCCCCTAAGAGGAGGAGACCCGGGTCACCCACTAACCTTGATGTTCGGCCATCGATGACCTATATAGCATGCATAGGTACCCAAGGGAGTGACCACCCTCTGGTTTACGAGCTAGGTGTTCTAATGCTAGAGGCTTCGGCCGGATACGACCTGGCCCCCAAGGTACGAGATTTCTTCGTGCACGTATTCCGTGACCCTCGAAGGCGCAGGGGGCGGGATATCGGACATTGAAGATGATGAGGGGGGTCCCGGTGGATGTCCGCTCGATGGGTGACGAGGGTGACCCGAGACGAGGCTGCTTAGCTGGGATGGGAACTGACTGGTGACGCTTAATCGTCGGTCAAGGGTTAAATCTGATGAAGGGAGGCGATCTTATATGCTCTGGGAGATTTTCTCTTTAAGTGCTTGATGTCAATTTTGACTAGATATTCCTCAGAGAAGGGTAAGCATAACTTTTTGTTAATTTTCCAGTTCTTATTGTCACATACCTCTTTATTTTTTTAAATATCTACATCTACTAAAACTTTTTGCTCCATCTTGCTTTTGGCCTACCTCTATTTCACTATTTTTGTCTGGTATATTTTCTTTATTATTGAAATATTATCATTCATCAATTCTACAAACTCTCCCAATCATTCTTTCATATATTTCTATATTATTTTTGTCGTTCTTCACGTATTTCATCAATTCTGTTTCCTCTATAGAATGATATTTTTTAATCATTTTAATGCCATTTTTCAATTCATAATATCCTCATTTTATTATTTGTCTCTCATATTTTCTTTATTAGTGGAAATATCACCTTTCGTCCATTCTATAAACTTTTCTGTTGATTGTTTTGTTTGTGTTGGTCATTTTTTGTGTCAGACTTTGTATACTTTTCTATGTCAGATTTTTCTAAGACATAGTATTTCCACATTTCCATTGCCTTATTCAGTTTTATGTAATTAAAATAATATGTTTATTTTTCAATTGATATCTCATCTTCATGTCATTTTTTTTATGTATTGAAAATATCTTTTATACTATTTGTTTCCCATATTTTCATCCTTGCTGGAATGCTATCATTTGTAAATTCTATACTCTTCCATTGACTATATTTCTAGGTCGTATATAATATGTATATAATTTTATATTTTTTTTTATTTGTCATTCTTCTCAGACTTATTCACGAGTTCATCACACATTTTTATGCATTTTTTTTCAATTTCGCATAACTCTATTTATATTTCTTTCATATTATGTTCATTCTGCGAAATCTTCT